AGGTGAAACAACGAGAGCTCAATATTTTATAATTTTTATTTTAAATTAAAGATGAAAAATAAACCTAATTTAATACTAAATTTAATATATTAGATTGAGATTATTTTCATTTTTGTAAAAGGAGTATAAAAAAAATAATGAATTAATTTTGTCAGTTGCATGTGAACTTTTTTATAAGCTGGAGTGACTCTGGAACGGTTTGGGATGCTTAAAATAAGATGCTATGAGAGATTAAGTATAAAAATATTTGTGTATTCATTTTTGGTTACTCTTTCAAAATGTTTTTAAGTGTCCACCCCAATAAAATAGTTGCAATTGATATAGGAAGGGGTCATTGAAGTTTTTTTTGTTATAAAGGGGGATAAAAAAGGAAATTAAGTTTCTGGTGATTGTAAATCATAATTTCGGTAAAATAAATAATATAAATTGATATGTATTATTTATTTAATTTAAAAGCAATAAATAAATAACAATATAAAATCAATATATTTTGAACAAAGAGTAGTTCCATCAATCATTAATCCATTCTCTTTATAATTAACATAACAATATATTTTTTTTATGCTTTCAAAAATGAAGGTACTAGCAAAATTGAAAGCTCTTGATACTTAAGTAAGTAATATATTATAATTGGCATCTGGAGATGTCATTATATTAATAAATCCATCAAGAAATTTTATATTATAAGTCTTATAGGAAAAAGTTTAGGGAACTTACTTTAAAATGGCAGAATGTAAGCTGATTCTTTCTTTTATAACGTTAATAGTTACAACATATGTTTTTCAAATTTTATCATATACTTTGGCTTGATTTTGTAAATAACGCAACGCTTGAACATAATGAACAACGCTTATTCACTTTATACTCTTGCAAAGTATAAACAGCCCTAGTTCGAAACATTAACTACAGATAGATTCCCTTACCAACAGCTGGCCAAAATTTTACAAATAAAGAAGAAATAAATATTTTATAACCCAACAAATCACTTTTTTTTATTTCTAGGGGATTAATGTTCGGGATGCGTTTTCGTCTGCTCATCCCTTTAAAATCGTTCTGCTCACCCAATTTAAGAACTATATTTTATAATAGAATAAATTTGATGACAGCTATCATGTAATATGTAATACATTTATTTCGCGTTCATTCAACCATATTTATTATTTTTTTTAAAAGTACATTGTATTTTGCTTAAAACATCTCTTTTTTTAAAAAAACAATCACTTATGTATACCAGGGCAGTAACCTGCAAGGCTAACATTTACAAGTCCGAGTGTGTTTAAAAAATGCCGGTCCGACCCTGGTTGTCAAAAATTTTTCTAGATCTGGCCTGTATACCTGGACCTGGCGGTTTGCTCAGGTCTGTAGGTCTCTGTTATACACCAGATCTTAGGGCTACCTCTTATTTGGTTTTTTTCTTCTTCTACGTATGAAGTTGGCTTTTAGCGGAACTATCGTTATTTGATATTTGCTTTTTCGAATTCGAATATACGGAAAATTTAATCGATCTCTTATATTCTTTTCTTTAATCCGAAATTCCGGTTCGGGTCAATCAGTATCCCAATTGACCTAAATTCTTTTTCGCTCGACGCGAGATTCGAGCAGGTTAGGTGTTACAATTTTTCGCGGTTTTATGCTATTTTATATTTCGAGAAACAAGAATAATAATTATATTTTATAAAATAAACATATATATATTATTTTTTTAAAAAAAAATTTAAACATTTTATCGAGATGTTAAGTAAGCGAAACTTGAACGAGCAGCTGGTGAAATATTAAATTAATTTTTTTTATATTTAAAATAGGGGAAGAAGGTGGGGTAGTTTAAAATGGGGTAAAAGAGATAGATAAATATACGACGCGTTTTATTTAATTAAGAGACGTCATTATTTTTGCCGTTGAATGGTTTCTTTGCGTCATTTGGCGAGACGTTTAAATAAAAAGTATATAAGGCCTCCTTTATTGTAAACGCGACGCGATATCTCTGATACGATGCGTAATTTATTGCTATACTATAAGCATAATTGTATAATTTATCACTTTTTGTAATTTACGAATCGTTTGAGCGACATCGAGGTATTTCGCGCTTACTATAAACAAGGCCTCTGATTGGTTTGTTATTTTAAAGGGTAAGAACTAATAACGTCGATATTAGATGGGGTACATAGAGCCATCTAAAAACTTTGGGGAATCCCCTAAAAAAGATTTATGAAATCACCCCCTTCCCCCTCACCCTTTAAGATTAAATATAGCTACCCTCTGGTTTTGGGCGGTTGACAACCGCACGAACGATCGACAAAAATATAGACTTTTTGGATTGGCAAGCCTCATTTAATCGAAAGACCAACAGTTTTTTTAAAATCCGACGGCTCTTTATTTTGTGTGAAGGGTTTTCAGTGAGAGACTGAGAATATGATCGGTCAATAAATTTTCTATTGTTTCAACTGATAATCAATATCGATGGTTTCGATTTTTGATCCAACCCGGTTTTATAGGCCGGGCGGCCTAAAGGAAACTAATTTTAGTTGGACCAAGCTTTTATTAATAGGGTAACCGAATTTATTACCTCCCCCCCCCCAACCCTCTAAAAAAAATTATTCCCCTCTAAACTACATCGATTCTTTTTCGTTTATAATATTTTTTGCCGTATTCCGTTTCTTGAAGCTGCGGCGGAATCCCAAGGAAACCTTAGAATAAGTTCGCGTTTTTTTTCTATTTTGAGGGCAACCAAATTTTTTTTTCATTGTAATATCTATGCTAACGAATTATAATTGCTCAAGTATATTATGTAAAAATAATTGGAAAAAAAAATGGCATCTATTTGATTTTAGACTTTTGGGAATGGCTTTGAGAGCCTTATTTTGGAACTTAAGGAGATTAGGGCAAATGTAGATGACGATAGATTATTGTCGAATCAAAAACGGAGCTGTTAATTTCATATTTGTATACCAGCCAAACGTTCGAATATCAATATAGGGGTGAGTAGAAGAATACTATAAAATAAATCGCTTTATCCACCTCCTGGATACTTTTATAACTCAAATCAATGAAAGGTTCTTGATTAAATCTTCCAATTTTATTATCGCAGGAATATTTTTACAATTTTGATAGCGAAAAAAAAAAAATTAAATATTTCTGTCAGACGATTTTTATTGTGAGGATGTTAAAGGATCTCTTGATGCATTACTGAGATAGCAGGTATAGGTAGTGGAAGGGGGGTAGCGAAAGAATTACGGTGTTTTAGGTGTGGGCAGGAAGGGTATATGAGTCGAGTATGCAGGGGTGAGGTAGAGATAAGGAATAAAGGTTTCGGAAGATGTTTTAGATGTGGAAAGGATGATCATTTAATTAAGGATCCGTTTCGGCACCAATCGTAGTAATCATATCGATTGTAATGGTCGTTAAGGTATCAAATATGTTGTATCAAATATGAATATATTGTATCGAGTAAACAAAATCGGTATCTGTGTATTTTATATAAATAATAATAGTTATTATTATATTTCTTTATTCTAATATTTTGTATTATCCCCACTCCCTTCTGAAGTCATGTTCCACATTTTTCCTGACTCTCCACATCTAAAACACCTACGAAAGCCTTCTATATTCCTTATCTCTACCCCACTCCTGCATACTCTACTCATATGTCCCTCCTGCCCACACCTAAATCACCGTGCTGAATGCAAACTATGATTTAAAAGGTTAACATAGTAAATGTTCCAAAAAATGTTATAGGTTGCTTAGCATAATTTCGTGCATATTTTAGACTATACTCTAATAAATTAAAATTTACCTTAGTACTTACTATCTACCATTAAAAGCATCTTCCTTTTTTTTTAGAAAAATGACAACATACCTCAGAAGTACTACCTATGAAGATAAACATAGGGAGTTTACGTTATGCGCTATATCATTAAAAAAGTAGCTCAATCCCAAAGAAGATTGAATTTCATATTATAAATTTGTAATATGATTCTTAATAATTATTTTTCCTTTGATGATATTTCTTAAAAGTTTTTTTGTGCATTAATCTAAATTTCAGGTTATTTTTCGATACATTTTATTTTATCGATAGGCACTAGTGCTAATCCTAATAAATTTCTGAAGTTTAAGATGTCCTTCAATAACTCCTAGAAATTTTTTTTTTAATTACAACCCCCCCCCCTCATAGTAAATTCCTGCATACGCGTCTAATGCTTTATTTTTTATATTATTATAACTTTTAATATAATTAATTATATTTGTTTTGTTAAATATAAAAAAATAAGCAACAATAGATATTCCACAAAATTATATTATCTATGATAAAAACATGAAAATGAGTTTAAAATTTAAAATTTTTTGCATAAAATATAATACCACGAAAAATGATATTCACACAAAAAAAAAATACATTCTTTTGAACCCTGCATTTAAAATGAGGGTTCGGTCTCAGTAAAATTTGGGTTCTCAGCTCTGATTTAAAATTATAAATAAATAAATATTTTGAGTTTGAGAATCTTAACTTATTAGTATGTGTTGTTAAACGGCTGTTTTGAAGCGACTTTTTAAAAACGGCTACCTCAATATGTTAGCTAAAAAAAAATTACCCGTTAATTATATCCTTTTGTATATGACTAAGTTTGGAACATAATATAGAAATGGTCCATATTACCCCTACGACATTTTTTTTTTTAAAAAATTATTTTTATCATATATGTGAAGAAAAGGAAAATTGCTTGAGGAAAAATCGCTCTAAATTTTACTTTTTTTAATATTTTGTTATATTGATTTTTTTTTTCATGTCGAACATAATTTACAAGTTGATATATTATTTTTCACTAATGGGGGGAAGGGAGGGGGATAAAGCGGAAAGGGTTAGGTTTGGTAAGATGGTAATAAATCGATTTTTAAACTTAGAATATATATATATATATATTTCGGAAATAAATTAATAGATGATAAGAAGAAAAAAAAATTTAAATGAATATTTTATTTTTCATAAATTATGATTATTAATTTAGCCCTCCTAACCTACATCAACTCTGTAAGCGTCAAACTCGGTGTTAGAATCCAGGATTCCTTCTTCTACACCAAGCTCATAGCTCTGGCCATGATTATATTCATCGGATTGATTCAATTGAGCAACGGTAACCAACTCTTTTTCTTTTAAAAAAAAGAAGTATTGTTTAAGGGCTTTCTAACCATATCTAATTTTGGTCGGCATTTGTGCTGGGGTTCGAAATATTATTATTGGGTACTTTACAACCTCTTTTATATTATCACCCCCCCCCCCCCCTCACAACCATTTAAAATGTAATCAGATGACCAGTGGTATCTCTTTCTAGCATGCAAATTTTTTATCTTAGCATCTTTTAACAGGAAGCGAGCTAGGACGACGCCTTATTTAGGTGTATTTCTCGCGCGTAAATGAAATAAAGATTTATCATATTTGCCGACCAGTTAAATATTATCAGCTGTTATAGTGCTTTGTATCCATTTTTTACATTTTTTTTCAGGAGATAATTTAACTCTTCATTCATTCATTCATATTGTTTTAAACAAAAAAATAAAAATTACAATCTAGGGCATAGGGAAACGTTGAAGGCAGGCCTATACCTCAAACCCGAGTCCCCGGTCAAAATCGGTTTAGCCTTCTATTCTGGTCTTTTCGCTTATAGCGGATGGTAAACAAAAAAATTATTTCATTTAAAGTTTTTAAATTAACTGGCGAACTAGAAAAAAAGAGAAATTTCAAAGTCCTTTAGCTTAATTTTTTTTCAGAAAAATACTCATACCACTCTTTAGCCGATACCGATACTAATATGGCATCAACCGTTGCTACAACCGATACTGTATATCGGCTGGATCTGTGCATTTCTGTTTTTTTTATTAGTTTTCTTCGAATGCGAGCAAAGAAATTATACGATTCGATTATTCAAAATTTAAATAATTTGTGTATTCGACAAATTTTCGAATAATTCTTATAATTTGATGGAATATTCGAATTATTCGAAATAATTATTTAATATATTTTCGAATTAAATCTATCATTTGTCATATTTTTTTGATAACCTATCAATCTGACAGGTAATCTTTGAGTTGATTTTTAAAAACGGCTAAGATTTTAGCCGATTATTTAAGGCCTAAAGATTCTGCTCATACGTGGAAGAAAGGTTTGGACCTCCATTTTTCAAATCTTGAGGGTAATCTTAATCAGGGCCGTTTTTTAAAAAATGGACCTTTTAACAAAACTACTGACAAGTGATGTGATTGACAAAGTTGTACCTCAACTACTTATGAAAGGCTTTTCTTAGTTGGAACTAATTTTCTCTCATAAAAAAAATCAATAAGATTAAAAAAAAAACTTTATCGCCTTAAAAATTGGTTTTGGCATTTTAAACTAACTTTATTATGTATTTTTAATTTCGTTAACAACACTCGTTCGTTCGCACTTTCTTTGTCGTCTGGTTTTGTTGAACGTCTCATGAACCGAATTCCAAAAACGGCTGGCTAACTCGAATACTTTATCCTAAAAAATAGATATATCAAGTGAGCTTGAAAATTTTGCTCATAGATTGGTCTAAAAGGGTTCGGACATATGTTAGCTAAATCTCGAGGCTCACTTAGACAATATTTTTCTGGCTAAAATAATTGAGTTAGAAATAAGTTTCAAATCCAGTCGTTAACAACACTATGTCATCGGTATAACTTGTTTAAAAGGCGCAATAAAAAAAAAGATGAATTATTCGAATAGTCCTAATCGAATACGAATAATAAATTATTCGATTCGTTTATTCGCTATTCGGGTTTGTATTATTTTTTGAGTCGGTTCTGATTTATAGGAAAATCCGGCGCGCCTTTAGGACACAACAACTTTAAATCATTTCTTGAGCTAGTTTTTGTTCTAAATTTTAAAATCGGATTTTACCGGAAATATATTCTATCATGTTTGGAATACCTATCTTATGAATTGTAGACAATTTTACTGTTAACCCTTTTGAGTCATTTATTATTTAATTTAAAAAAAAATGTATGGAAAATTTAATAAAAATTATATTAAGTATTTGAAGTTCATTGAAGAATCGTGTGAAATTTATAGGTTAGGTATTCCAAGCATGACGGCATACATTTCTGGGAAATTCAGATTTTTAAAAACCCGTTAAAAAAAAAATTATGTTAAAAAATGTGGGTTATACAAATTGTTCTCAAGGTATCTATCAATGTATCTAGTTACTTTTAAAATTTTAACAAGTTATTAGTTGTCTTTCGAATGTAACTTTTAACAACATTAATGATAAAAAAAAAATACTTTGGAAAAATGATATCTTTTACTATATTATTTAAAAAAAACTATTAAATCGATTAACAGGGAAGCGCTTAACATGTCCTGCGAGGAAGTCAAGAATCTCAAAAGGTAAATAAACATTTTGATATATCATTTTATTCGCATATACGATTGCGTAATGGGAATTAGAGATGTGCAAAGTTAGGCCCGGCCCAAATCGGGCCTAATTCTATTTAAAATAATATGGTTCGGGTCAAGCCGGGCCGGGTCGGGCCTCATATTGTAAAAATTTCGGGCCGGGTCGGACTTTGGAAATTATATTGAATTTTTTATGTAAAATAAAAATATTAGATTTTATTTATTGAAACTAAACTACATATAACAGCTGTCTTTTATTTGTAAATATAAAAATAAATTTCTATAATTTAAATTAATTTGGGCCGGGGTAAAATTTTTTTAAAAAAATTTAGGGTTCGGGCCGGGTTGGCAAAATTTTTTTAAAAAAAAATTTGGGCCGGGCTTGAAAGGCCCGATGTAGATCACTAATGGGAATGACAGTGGAAATTGTCAAATTATATTAATAATTTTTTTTTTTTTAAATTAATATTCTAAAACTATTCCTATTTATTCCAAAATATTTTTAAATTTTTTCTCTAAGTTTGCGTATCATTTTCCTTGTGGAATTTCTTTTTTTAAAAAAAAATTTATTTGTTAAAATATTAATCAATCTGCGAATCGGACGATTTTTTTAACGAATTATTCGATTCGAATACGAATAATTCAAATTTATATTTTTTTTTGACGTCCAAATTAACTTCTGCATTTTTTTGCAACTTTGAACAGATTGTGACGCGCTCTTTAAAAAAATGAAAGAACAGCTGATTTAGACATGATAAGAACAAATTTATATCATTAAATTATCCCGCCAATTTATTTTCCTTTTTTATGAGAGCAATTTAATAAAAAGTATATATACTCAAATCGTAGTTTAATATTGGAGAGATATAAGTGGAGGTATAAACTCACGAACGTGATTCGTTTATTATCGCGTCAATTCGATATTTTTGATTGACGTCTCCATAATAAGATCAGTCAATTAACCCTCGCCATACACCTTAATATATATATACTTTACTCTGATATTGGTAGCCTCGAAATATAAAATGCTCTCTTACATTCTATTTATCACTAAGATCCATTTTGCAGTTTTATTTCAAGAATATTTTACGAATTTTTATAAGGTGTATATATATATATTATATGAAGAAAGAAATATAGATCATAAATAATGTCATATAAATTTTATTTATTAAAAATGCCATTCATAGATAAAGTATATATTTTATGAAGAAAGAAATATAGATCATAAATAATGTCATATAAATTTTATTCCATTATTAAAAATGCCATTCATAGATAAATCAAATATTATTTAAAATGTCTTTATTAAATGTATGCAATTTCCAATCATCATCCAAAATAAACATAAATACATAGAAATTATTATTTTAATCAAATAAAACAAAATAAGCACACTTGATTTTTTACTCTTAGAATCGAAATATATTTTTACGGGCAAAATGTCAATCTCAATTCAAATTATAGTTGACTTGAAGCACTCAGATATTCAATTCTGATACTTATTTTATATTTTTTTTAAAACGAAAAGAAATTTACCCGCCGCTATATACATATCGCTAGGGATAGTGACCATCGTCTACACGCTAGCTAATATTTCCTATTTCACTGTGCTTAGTAGTCAAGATATTATCGATTCCGAGATTGTCGCTGTCGTAAGTCTCATATTATTTTCCACCAACTATAGGGAGAATTCTATATCCCCTAGGCCAATGAAGATAATACCCCCTTCCTCTTCTACCTAACCAAAACTACCCATAATCCATATTGATGATTTTGCATCATACCCCCCCCCCTTCTACCTTTGAGCAAAAGGCCTTCCTATACCACACTTTTTTAAAAAAAAAATTCTCGAAATTTTTACTTATCAATATTTTTGAAATTATTTAATCAGTATAAATGTTAATAATCAGTATTTTAATTTTCCCCATTTTAAGAAAACTGACCCTAAAAATTATCTAAAACCTAACTTGAACCATGTTTAAAAATTGTGTGAATCCAAACCAAACCCACTTTTATTTGCATTTCTACAGGTTCTACTGGCTCAGTACATTTTACCTTTTGCTTTCCCAAATTTAACATTTTTTTATTACCATTAGTGTTGCGAAATAGCTCAATTTGATAAGCCTTTTAAAAAGGCCTAACTCAGTATTTTATCCAGAAAAAAATATTGCACACGGCTGAAGATTTTACTTGTAGATGGGCACAAAGGTTTAATATTTTTCTGGCTAAAAAGATTAAGTTTGCCGTTTTTAAAACTCTGCTTTAATGGGATGAGTTTGTATCACTAATTACAAATCCTAATTTTATATTAAAATCAGAGTTGTTAAAGGATCTAGATACGATACAAGTATCTAGATCCTGTATCTAGATATAAAAATGTGGTAGATAGATTTTTGATTAAATAATCTGTATCTAGATATTATTTTAGACGTTGTGTCTGTATCTAGATCCATTTAAAAAGTATCTTTTAACAACTCTGATTAAAATATTTAATTTCACTTGATTTAAAATTTTTTCAAATAAAATTAGGGTTGGGCCTTGCTAATTGATTACTTTGCAACTTCTCCGATAATTACTTTAAAAAAAAAATTTTTTTTAATATTATTTTTTGGAACTTTCTAGTACATCCCGGGAACGTTCTCTGGATCTTCATTCCCTTTCCTTTTCACGTATCACGATTTTACCTAAGTTCCCTTCCAATTGAAATAATAATTTAAGTTGAGATTTCAGGAATTAAATAATTTGGTCATCTTAAGTTAGCGGTAAAGACTTTTTTAAAGATTATTTATTTAAAGTTCGTGGAGTGAAATGATCACGTGATAAATATATTACCGATTTGTACATAATAATAATATCGTGAAATTTATTTTCCGCAAATTACAGCGCACAATTTGAGCGTTTACGTTTTGCCGTAATTTTTAAATAAAAAAATAAGTAACGCATCCCTTGTTTAAATTGGGGTTGTCTTTTTATTAATATCCGTCTATTCAAAATTTTAAATATCTAAAAAAAAAAAGGATTTGTCTTTTATATTATCGTCTGCGTTCTTATTTCTTTAATTTTCTATTCCTTTTTTAGGATTATAAGTAAGTTATTTATATTACATTATTATATATATATATATATATAATATTGCAAAGAAAAAGTAATGAAAAGCAAACCTATTTGCGTTTTTTTTTAAAAAATGGTTTCTAACGCCAAACGGTAAATTTTACCAATTTGCACGAGGCCATTTTGAAATGGATTATTTGCGCTTGTAACGCATCGTTTGAGACGCTCAATTTGTGCGCACTATTATTACTTTTGGAAAATAGTGAAATCGCCTCTTTGTCATTGTAACTAGCTCTCACTTCAAAAGTAACTTTTAACAGCATTCGTATGATTTATAACCATTTTTTTTTTTAAATTTCAGACTTTCGTTAAGCACACCTTGCCCGTTTTGAGATATATCATGCCCTTTCTCGTCACTTGCTCAATCGTGGGAAGTTTAAATTCCACCGTGTTTCATTCTGGAAGGTTCATTCTTATAAAATTAATAATACCTAAAATTTATTATATTTTCTTTAAAATTTGTAACTAAGGTCACATTTTCTTTTCCAAAAAAAAGTAAGTTACAAATTTTATCATAAGAAAACAAAAAAAATTTGAACTTAAACTAAACTACATGATTGATAAGCGTTGTATATTTAACAGTACAGAATAATTAACATTTAAATATTGTTCTTTCGTTAAAACGCCTGAGCTGAAAACTTATAGAAATAATTTTAATTCCAGGATGGATGACTTCATAAATTAATTGATAAACTTATTTATTTATCAATTTATATTTTAAATAAAGAATGTATTTCTCGGCCGCCAGGGAGGGCCATTTGCCTACTCTCTTCGGTATGCTGAGCATCAAGAGTATGACACCTATTCCGGCATTACTTCTAGATGTAACATTTTTCACACCTTTATATATTACGAATATAGTTGTTGTCAAAGATTTTGCTAATTTTAAAAAAAGTTAAATCAAAATTTCAAGCAAAGAATATTACCATGATAGAAAGACCTAGTATTATTAAACGGCTCGTTTTGAGCCGATTTTTAAAAACGGCTAACTCAATATTTCATCCAGAATAGTATTACGCAAGCCTGGAGAGGAACAAAGGTTTGGACATCCATTTTAGCTAAATCTCGAAACTTAGGCTTTTCTGACTAAAATATTGAGTTAGCCGTTTTTAAAAATCGGCTCTAAACGAGCCGTTTAACAGCCCTAGTTTGATCTTCTTTTAACCAATCTCGAGGCTTATACCTTTTTTTATAAGTAAAATCTTAATTGTTATTTTTTTTAGAAATCGGTTAAGTCTAGGTTTATGAATCATATTTTTATCAAATTCCCTGATAGTGCATAAATAAAGGTGATAAAGTTTACACCCCCCCCTCACTAATTTATATTTTACACGCATTTGCGTTAGATCATAACCTAATTTTTTATAAATGCATATAGTGCATAACAAGCATAGTCGTGCTTGCCTTGAGCGGAAACGATATTACAAAAATGTTAGAATTTTACGGGTTTCTGAGGAGCGCGGCTCTAGCTTCGGGCGTGGTCGCTCTGCTTTGGTTAAGATACAAAAGACCTATGCTTATGAGACCTAAAAAGGTTACTAAATTTTTCCATTTTTTTATAATATTGACAACTAGCATAATTTTGAAAATTTAAAGATATTTATGGTTTTGCGTAATTTGCCATTTACTTGTCCTCCTAACATCCGAGAAAATGTTTTAAATGTTTTTTGAATTTGGATTTATCTTTATTAAATTCTCAATAGAAATATTTATATTCTAATATTGATGTAAAGATACGACTCGATAATATATATCATTTTATCTCATAACCCTGCATTCACAGTGTTAGCGCAATTTTTTTGTGAATTATATATAAATACATAAAAATAAAGCATATTTTGTATACTTTCACCTCTTTGCGCAAGCTATGAATGAGGGATAAGCCAATCATTACAAACTTATTATATTTATCACTAAAATAATTTATTTTAAGTTCCCGATAATTTTCCCCATAATATTTCTCCTCATGTCCTTGTTCATGACCTTCGTTCCCTTGTATCAAAATTACGTTATGGGATTGATAACACTAGCTTTACTCCTTTTGGGTGCGGTCGTTTATCGTCTTTTCATCCACAAGGAAAAATTTAACCGGGCCAGGAAGCATTTGCTCGGTCGCTGTATGGTCAATTTCACTGAAACGTCTCAAAAAATTTTAAAAGTTATTCATGTCATTAAATTAATTTTTATAGAGGGAAAAATTTTTAAATATCAAATGATTTTCCTACTTATTTTTCTTTTCTTTTTTTACTGTTATGTTTAAAAAAATGTTAATCCCCTGGGTTCGATATATTTTATCTGTATTTGAGATAGAGCATTTGGGGAGAAATTTTATTACGTTAAATCAATTTTGAAGTTGGAGGGGGAGGGGGTCTAGTTGTAGTTTTGAGTCATTAATTTAGTAAATAATATCATGCATGACAGGAGGTCGGGCGCACTTTTTTAAGCCATAATCTGTGTACTACTTTTATAATTCTTTCACCATCTAAAGATAGATTTAAATTATTTGCCAATTACTAATCGAGTGAGGTATCATTTCTATTTCATACATCTAAATTGATTTTTTTTTAAAAAAAAGGTTATACCCTGCGAAGTTGAGCCAGACTACGAAAAATTGCTTTTAGAGATGAGCCGATAAATCGCGGGTATAATTAGAACATATATCAAAAAAAACTCCGAAATGAATAGAGAAAAATTCAAAGTTAAAAGAAAGAAAACACGCTTAATCACTTTTTTTTGTCTTTCCATATTCGAATAATTATTTTTTTTTTATATAAACAATGTTACTTAGACGAGTATTATTAATTATTATATGAGTGAATGAATATAATATTAAAATCGTAATTTATTATTTTTCTATAAAAAAAATTGAATTTATATTTTTTTATTAAATCCCCCGCCCCCCCCCCCTATCCCTTCTCTCTTTACAACGCATTTCAAATGAATCATATTTTACTAATTTTTGCCCAGTCCTCCCTCTTTTTTTTATATAAAAAAATTATCCTGACGTCTTCATAGTTAATTAATAATCCAAATTTTTTAAAAAAATCACATCTCCATTATGCAAGTCCTTATTAAAATATAAATATTGTATTTAAAGTTGTTTCCTATTCATTTTTTATTAAAAAATATTCAATCCAATCATTTATTTGATAATCCTCTTTTTACATTAAAAAAAATCTTTCCATGTTTGTTACGTTTTTCTAATTTGCTTTAAACAAAAAAGAGTGATAAAAAAAGTTAGCAGACCCCCAAACAAAAAAGAGTGATAAAAAGTTAGCAGACCCCCCCCCCCACCCCCTTTTAAAAAAATGGAATCCAAACTTTACCATAGTCCTAGATCCACCTATCCTTTATCGTGCAATTTCCTTAACCCCTCTCCCACCCAAGTTTACCCATTAATTCAAAAAAATGGTAAGCGAGTAGCAGCGATTGTCCTCTATTTACCGAAAATCTTTTGTATAAATTACTTATATTTTACCCATATTTCTATATCATTTTTTTCTTATATTTTTTTTTAAAACTAAAAAAAATAGATTAGTTTATTTTATTATTATAAATCATAATTTATATAATAAAAATATAAACGTAAAAAATTATATTAAAATTTTTTAAAATATATTATATATTTTTTTTAAAAAAAAAGTATGCTTGTAAATTATTATATTATATACAATAAGTATTATAATTATTATTTAAAAAAATTGTTTTCGATTTTGATAAAATAAAATATTTTTTGATTACAATTTAACACCCGTGAGCTTATGTTTATTTTTACTGGGTCTTGGGTCCAATTATTTTCTAAGGGTGTATAAGTGAGTTTAAGAAAAAGAAAAAAAAATGAAGGATATTTTTCTTTCTTTAGACTGGTTCAAAGCTTTCCCCCACACTTTTCAACAACCTATGTAACATATCGAAAAGTTCGGAAAACTCGGCGTGATGATCGACGGGTGTCGCCCTAATCCGGTAAAATTTTTGTCCGATATCCAAACCGAATCTATTGGGACATTTTTTAGTTAAGCAGTACTCCTTGCTCTCGATCCTGCCCAGGACGATATCCTCCAATCCTCGAAGAGTTTGGGGGGTAAGGGTAGAAGATTCATAATTATCATCAGAGGGTGGCGATGACAACGGATAAACGAAGGAGTGATGAGAATCGGAATGCAAGAAATAGACCTGCGAATCCAGACAAAGTGCCACGTACAGGTTATTGTGACGCCTGTCTCGATAAAATAGGCAATGGTCTCCTGCGCTTAAACTAATAATTATTGAAGAAAAAAAAGGTTTAACAATAAAGCCGGATAATAGGTGTTGCATATAAAAACGATATTTGGCTTTCGCGTCTTAAATTTTAAAAATTCCCGGTAAGACCTCCCCTCCCGATTGATTTCATTATATCAAATGCCTAACGAAGTCCGAATCTCGTGGACTCTAGTATGGCTAATATTGGATCACGAGATCAATTTGCTATATTAAACCACCTTTGAACATACTCTAACCTTTTCCACGGGTTTAAAAGAAATTCCAAGACTCCCAGGTAAATTAACGGGTGGTTACTCCAAATGAAAGTTTAAATTATTCCATTCATCTTGACGAAAAAAAATGGTTGGGCCGCTTTCTCTAAGCCCAACTCTTAAATAAGAGTATTTTTAAAAATGAAAGTTCCTGTCAGCCAAACGAACCGTCCCTACCCAAATAAAACTCGATCCATTGGGCAAATATTTGAAATGGTTGAGTAAATCCTAGTACCCCTATTTCATCCTCAAATTTATATTATTCGGAATTTGAAATCCATCCCATTCAATTTATTTTATACGAGTTATATAACTTTTGGTAAATAACTATGGCGGTGTCATAGTTCGACCAATGATGTATATATATATATTTGATATGCGATTCATTAATTAAATGCATTTTAAATTATCCCAATATAGAAGTCAGCAGTAGCGACATTTTGTGGTTGTGCTTTAATAAAATGATGCTATTTAATCTATCTTTATTTTATAGTTTCAATTATGATATATGAGTTCATACTACTTATTTATAAACTAACATTATTATAAGTGAGATTCGCGTGAACCCTATTATACTTTTTATGATATATAATTAATTTCACGAGTCTTCGAGGACAATTAGTCGACGTGTAAAACCACAAAATGGCGCAACAGTTGATTCATATGTATGGATACCTTTGAAGAATGAATCGCCAATGTAGTAGTAAATATACATCATCGGGTACCACTTATTTCCAAACAGCCAGCTATCTTCGACTAAACAGCTCAAAAAAGTAAGAGGTTAGATTTAATTATGCCACTCATTTAATTTTATAAATAAAGAATTGTAAATATCAACAAAGTAAACGACGTACATATTATTAGGGATGGTAAAAAAAAAATAGGAATTGAAATAAAAAAAACTAATATAGAATATCCTAGTTAAAAACCTGCTTATCCTATAAATATCGAGAATAAATGAAATCAGAAGACAGCTTAAGTTATCGTTGTCTTTGAATTTTGAAAAAATGAAGGATATAATTTTTTTTTGTAATAAAGAGGAAAAAAATATATATATTTACAAACTTGTTTATAATAATTTTGGGCAAAGTAGAACGTGCGTGAACTTGAGAATTAGTGGTTGGCGGACTGTGCAAAGATTTTACGATAGAAGGAAGCAAATTCATCTCACTTCTGGTCATGTTGACATTGATTTCAGAATATAAATTATTAGAATTCAAGGAGTCGGTGAGGGATATGCTGTAAAAACGCGAAAACGTCATTTTTTTACAAATGTAAAAAAATATTCAAATCCAAAATATTTAAGGTATAATTTTTGATAGATACTTTTTCCAATTAAATAAGGGAATGGGGGGTGGGAGGGGGGTTTAGGTATTTTTAAAGAAATTAAAAGATAATAAAAATTTTTAAAGTTGAATAAAAGTATGGAAAATTTACTAACGGAGGAAGTAATATAACCGACTTTGAAGTGTTGCTAGCGAGTTGAGCGAGAAATTTTTCGCGACAAAATCCCGAAATATCAGTGATGGCAGGAGAGGAGAAAGTTGTTGCCGTGTGTACCAAATCGTGCCAAGAGAGTGAGATCATTGGTTCACCTACCCCAAAAAAATCAATGTTTTGGGCATTTTCTACATCTTTTTGTGTTATTGTCCATGTAATAAGTATTATAATTCGATCAATATATAATAAATAAAAATGGAGGAAGAAAATAATAGTCAATATTTTTTTAAAAAAAAGAAATATATGTTTATAAGTTTACCGACAGCTTTAGAATCAGCGAGGGGCACTTTGTGACCGAAAATATGTTGAACGATCGTCAAAACGATGTCTAACACGTCGTTCACTGTCTTAGTAAAAATGTCTAAAACGTCCATGTTTTGAAGCAAGATGGAAGAGTGAAACATAGAATCGACGTGGCGCTCTACGTAATCTGATATTGAATCGAATAAGGATATTTCGGAACAGTCCAAAAACCCGAAACCACACCCGTAAAACATGGCGGGCTTAAAATAGTCTTTGAGACGAGTGGACATCCAGAAATGCGCGTAATTTTGAATTGCGCGGAGTGACAAATTTTCCGAATTATGGTGAGTTTCGTTGAGAGAGTGAGAGGAATCAAGGTATATTTCGCCGGTATCGTTGCCTTCATTTCGTATGTCACTTGAATCGTGACACATAGTTACTGCGGCATCTGTCAAAGATGGGTAAGCATTGACTTCATTTATGGACGAGATATGTAGGTTATTGCCATTAGTATTCAATAAGTCATCGTCAAATGTCTTAAGGGGAACGTTCGAGATTGTGACGAGATTAGGATGTATACGAACTTCCTCCTCTTCATCTGCGAAAGAGTTTATTAAAAAGACGGGGTCGGAAGAGGATGAGAGATACGGAGGACACTGAGGTAGCAGGGCGTAAAAATTGGCGATATCCGTTGAAATCGTATCCGGTATATCCGTCAGTTGGTTATTCGGGTTTTCCTCTAAAATCATTCAAATAAATATGAGAATGCAAAGAATTTTCAAAATATAAATCCCCCACAGAACATAAGAGGAATTCATGTACCAATAAAAGTTATCCTATATAATTAGAATCAAATTGATAGAAAAAGGAGTACCATAAGTTGAGCAATAAATATTTATACCTATAAAATCAGGATAAGTAGAAGATTGTTTTTGATGATGATCCTCCATGGAAGATATAAACATGAGGGAGGCAGTGGAACAATCCAATAATTTCTGTTCAGCACTCCTTTCCATACGACTTGAAGCACTCTCCTCGATGTAGAGATTTTCCGGGCCTACCCGACCTTTGTCCCAACCATGATCGACGGGTTCCGAATCTGAGTGACTGTGAGACTTCAGATGTGGTATCGTGAAAGGTAGGTGGTAATTGCTACAAATAAAAATCATCGTAAAATTACAATCCAAAAAAATCGTAAATATATAAATTTCAAAAGTGGCATTATTTAAAGGAACCGAGGGAATGGAAAGAGACCCCGCAAGCTTCCAGTTCATCGTAAAAAAAATCATATTTGGTTATGCAAACCTCGGTAAACATTTTTAATCTCAGGGTTGGAACGAGGGAGGGGGCAAGAAAATGCCCTTGAACTGCGTCCCTGATTCGAAGTGAGTAAAAAACTCTTTCCTACAAACCAAAATTTTATAAGCAGCGTGCTAAATGATGCTTAATAATATAAGAATGATATTCTTATAGGTATATAACCCAGTAGTAGGCTGTTCGTTATGAGAAATGTTGTGGTTATTGTTTTTTATGTGTATCAAGCATCCATCCCCGTAATCGAAATCGTCCTCGAAGTAGTAACCCTCTCCTTCCCCATCTTCTTCTTCCTCCATCGCGCGACCGCCATTTTCCTCTTCCGAGGGTCCGTCGACCTGATAAAATTGATCGATGTTGTTAATTAATTTAAATTTTTAAATTATTTTTATATTAAACCTCCTTTTAAAACTACGTTTACCTTATCTTCTGATTCATTCATAAAAAAAATTTAAATAACTTGCGCGGGAAAAATCAGCTGCTTATGTGTAGGAATTTCGCCATTGGAGATTGAAGAATTAGAAGAATTAGCGGGTTTGGCGCATTTATCTTGACGGTGGAGTGCAGAAGCCGAATATTCTATAGCGGCCTCGCGTAGTTCCATCTCGATCGTACGTTGGTGTAAAGATTGCTCGTAACCTTTTTTCAGGTCGGTCACTTTTAACTAGTATATATTATTTTTTAGATATAATTATTTATGTTAAATTTGAAATTAACAACAAAAAAAAAGTTTAACATCAAATTTTAACTATTTATATGATTAATTAAAGTATTTATTTTTAAAAAAAATTTATACAAATTTTATTATACTGAGAATTCGTCAATTTGTATAATTTTTTATTTTTTGAGATTATTTTCATAACTATAATTTTGTTATCTTTTTCAATCAATTTTAAATAAAATTATAAAAATAAATATAAAAACAAAATACATATTTTACTGAATTTTTCGAATAATATATATATGGTTGACATAATGCTAAAACGCGAATTTTATAATTAAAAAATCCTTTCCCAAATTTCAGGTAATTTAAGATTATCACCTTATATTAAAAATATTTATTTCTTCTTTTGTTATCTCAATTTGATTCCCTGACTATTTTTTTTATATATTTTGACAGTTGCCAATACTTAATATTTACAAAATAAATAATGTATTCCTCCTCTAACTAACATGCCCTTCATATCTCACATATGGCCTCTTAATTAGGTTATTCTATATCCATAAAAAAAACCTATTTATGTTCAATTAATAAAATACTAATTTAACTTTATATTTAAGCGTTATATTTCTTCAAGGAAATATTATATTGTGTATATTTAAATCCCTTTGATTACAATTTTTAAATGGTAAAATTATTTTGTATAATAAAAATATTGTTGAACGCATTAACGAAGTTCGTTTTTTTTGAAAAAAATGATGAACGCGTTCCTTTTTTATGACGAACGCGTTCGAATTTAGCGTTCGTTCAATTTTAAAAATATTTTTATTTGTATTTATTTGAAAAATTTAATATTTCAGAATTTTTTTTAAAAAATGTATTATTTATATTTTTTAATTGGCTGTGTATTTCCTTTTCACATTTCAATTTTTTTAACACATAGTTCATTAATTTGAATATTATTGTTTATATTTTAATTTAATAGATTAGCATTAGCATTGATATTATTATTTAATCCTTATCATCTGATTCTGAAAATCCAAAATCAGATGAATTATCATTACTATGGCCAAATATGATAAATGTTATACATTAACATCCTATAGTGAAGAAACTAATCCAATGCTTACCAAGTTTAAAATGTGGCCAAAAGGTATTATATTGTCAAAATCTTCAGGTTCCAATTTAAAACGACATTTGATTTTAATATTAATTATGATTTTATATGATATAACTAAGTTAAATCATTAAATTTGAAGAAATAATGCATTTGGGATATTTGACCCCAACAATAACGATAGTTATTTTAAAATTAAAAAAATTAGTGGCCTCAAATACGGTCAACCATTGATAGACGTCGTATTAATAAAAGGTATTAAACCTATCACTCTCAATTAATTACATATATTTTATTTTTTTAAAGATTTGAACATATATATAAAGATCAATATGTTCTTTCTGCAATTATACATCCAATATTCAAACTTCAATGGCCATGGATAAAACGTCCACAGAACGAACCTATTAAAAATAAACTTATAGCGTTATTGAAAAAAAAGTTTTTAAAACCCTTGAAAACTGTTATTTTCGAGATGTCCTTTTTTTTTGTCGAGAGTAGAGAATGGATTGGAGTAGGAAAACTTATCTCAATTTTTTGCAATTAACAAAACAATATGTTTTTAATTAATTCTCCACGTTAAAAGAGCAGTTTATTAAGTATAATACAGCAATCCCCTTATCTGCCCCTGTAGAGCGCGTTTTTAGTTTAGCTAATGCCGTATTAACTGCCAAGTGTTCCTGTCTATCAGATAAACATTTTGAAAACAATTGTTATTAAAATTTAATAAGAAAATTTTTTTATAAATTATATTATCAAAATAAAACTATATTATTTTTTAACATGGCTAAAATATATTGTATTAAAAAATATAAGTTTATTTATATTAAATTAAATTTTAAAAAAATTTATCATAAAATTTTGAACGGTTTTATGAACGTGAACGCGTTCCTTTTTTGGAACATGAACTTGAACGCGTTCGATTTTTTTAGAAATGTTTACAGCACTAAATAAAAATGATGAGTTTATATAAGGTAACTTAGAAAAGTTATTATGTGATTACTTTTCAGAAAAAAAACAAAAGAATCCTTTAGATTTTAGACAACCATAAATTAACATTATATCGTGGTATATCATACAATCCGAAAATTCGTGATTGACACTATAAGAATGGGTTTAACTCTCTCAAAAAATACATAATCACAATACAACACTACCCGTTAAAAAAGAAATGTGATAAAATCTTCAAGTATTATATTTATATTCATTAAAGATTTGATATCAAGAAAGAACACGAGTAATAATCACCTGTAAATTATTCTCCATTTTGGCTCCTAACCCGCTCACTGCTCTCATAACCTCCTCCGTTAACCTTGATATTTCAGGTCCCGTCACTACTTTCAACCAATCGGAATAGTCGTGCTTGACGGCGAAACATTGGCTCTTCAATCGTTTAAGCTTGGCCAGGCAACACGCCAGTTTGAATTCTATGATTTTAGATTGAGCGAAGTTCTCTACGAGTGAATGACGATGTAATTGATTTAGAGAAAAAGAACGAGATTGCTTTGTTGCCTGCATTTTTCTTAGAGTCTCGGGAGAATTATCATTAGCACTAGATCTACAGCTCGTCGAAAGGGAGCGAAGAATATTTCCACCTTCTGCTCGTCGATAAATGAGAGGCCAGGACGAGCTTCTACACGAGCCAACTCTCTCATTATTAAACCCAGCTGTTAAGAAAGTGGGTGATAGACCTTTCGGGAAAGTGTTTTTGGGCAATGCTTGGTATTTATAACGAGTGAGCGCTAGCGCGAGCGCAGGTAGGCGACGATCTACCGGGTCAGTGATGATAGCGCAACGGGAGGCAGAATCGGCAGAGAATAGAGATCGAAAAATGCTAAAGGGGTAAACGAGAGTTGTTTCCAGAATTTTGTCGTGATCGAGACGATTCGGGGAATCTGTATTCGGTGATACGTTTTCTAGGTTTTGAGCATCAACCTCGTTTAAGTAGTCGGGTATATCATTCCCCACGTAAAAAACTAAGAGTGGGGCAAAGTCCACCCTTTTCAGACTTCTCATAACTTTCTCAAAGTCAAGTTGGTTGAGGTATTCGTTATCCAAATCCGATCCCAAATATCCGGTTTTGATGCGGTTTGTTGCCAGGGGATAAGTAGGAGGGAGGTAATGTGGTTCGCGGTGGAAATGCACAGCTGTGTTGCTATCACGGAAAGGCGGAAAAATTTGACGGGTTAATGCGTCATTCACTGAAACAAAAAAATTGAATTTATATGTTTTGCCCAAATACAAATAAATTTTTAGCTTTAATAGGCCTTACCAGATCTAAATAATCATCCGATTCGTCAAATTTTTCATTCAAAAAATTAATCGTCTTCAAAAACCTAATAAAATCGTTAATTTTATTCTGTAATAACGGATGTATATATACAACTTGATATGATATCAATTCCAATAAAATAATTGAATAGAGTTCAATAGCATATTGAAAACTGACCGGAAAATAAATACATCTAGTTTATTTGGTCAATATTTACATTGCTTAGATTAATATATCAAAAAATCCAGTAAAATTTCCCAATGAGTCTTATAATCAGAGTTGAGCAGTACGTGTATCTAGGATTCTTATTTTCAAAAGAACCCTGTATCTTTTTTCATTTTTTTGAAAGATACAGATGCTTATTTTATATTTAATATTTAATAATCACATATAAATAACCTCTTTTTTTGGTGGATTCTTATATTAATTTCATTTTTCTTTCTCTCCTACCGTCACATTTTAAAAAATATCGGTAAAATTTATAAGTACAACAAAAAAATCAATTTGAAAATTGACAACTTATTGTTGTAATTGACATCCATTTTTTTTTTGGATTTATAACAATAGTGCATGAATTTTATTTCGGGCTGTATTTATCATTTAGCCAGTGTGGGGTTAATTGTGTGATGGAATGCCACCATTAGATAATATTTAGGATAAGTTGGGGTCACATTAAATATTGCAATAGCTCATTTATTTAATATTAATAGTCCTTTTGGCACTATACGGCGATTTTAGGCGAAACGGCATTATGCTAATTTGCTATTGCAGTTTTTCTTATTTACTATTAAATTTCGTTCTTTAGGGCGCTTTTAGGGGAAACGCCATTTTGCTAATCTATGCTTATAATTTTGCTCAATTTACTATAACATTTTCTAATTTATTGTTACAATTGCTCATTTATCACTAAATTTGGCCAATTACTATTAAATTAAATTTTATCCTTGGAACTTTTGGGCGAAACAGCATTTTTCTCTGCTATATTATTTTTTTTAAGGAGGGGGGGGGGACTTTTTCGACTCTGCTTATAATGTATAAGGAAAAAGTCCACTAGAAAAATTAGAAAATTAACCAATATTCGAATGGACTTTTTTCCTGAAAGCCTAAATAAAATCGAAACCTTTGATAATTAAATGGTAGATTTTAGAAATATAAATATATTTTTAAATAACATACGGTTAGCAGAAAATTGGTCAACGTAAAATAACTTTAATTTGGTGAATTTCGAATGTTCTTACATTATTTTAAGGATGATATCTAAGAAGATATAGGTATTATCAATAAGAATTTACTTATGATTTTCTCGAAGTATTCCCTCTTCCCGTGTTCCTTGGCTGTTATAGGAATCATCTCGTCCTGCCAGAACGATTTCTCGACACTATTCAAGGTTCGGTCGAACATTTTCCTTCTATCGCGTTCGGCCGAATACAGGAGGCAAGTAACGGGCAAGTGACAAATATCCATCAACAACTGACATTTCACGCGAAAAGTCCGGAGCTTCACGTACATGGCGGAAAGTTTTGCGTCGACCGAACACAACTGGCGTGAGGCAAAACATACCCATCTATTTTTGAAGAGGAAAAGTGTTTTATGTATGTGTACGAGAGATTTGCACAGGTATACGGGCCGGGCCATATAAATTTATTTTAAATTTACCCGGGACAATGCTTTAAACCAGGGTTGGCAAGTCGGTCAATTGACCAGTCAAATTCGGTCAATTGACCGGTCAATTGACCTGAGAAGTATTTGACCTGAGAAGTATTTGACCTGTCAAATACCGTCAAATACTCAAAAAATTTTAAAGGAAAAATAAATTAAAAATATGTTTATAAAATATAAATACATGTGAACACAATGTTTGCTTATTTTTTGTGTCCACAATATCAAGAGGAGAACTCACTAGTAGTGAAATTAATGAAGTATATGATATAATTCAAGAATTAGCTATTTTACAAGGTAGTGATGACCAAAATATTTTAAGTGATAGAATTAATTTCAGAAGCAAAAATAGCATGTTTAATATAGCAAATTATGTGGAAAGTAGTAATTTCCAGAAACCTATTCCGACCTCTAGTTAATAGATTAAACTTTGTCCACCCTGCTCATTAAGAGACTAACAATTCCTAGTTCTACTTCTTTAGAAAGAAATAGGTTCGATTTGTTTTAATATTCTTATGAAAATAGAAATCGATTGAAGATCTAAGACATCAGGAAAATTGATTAAAAAATATTAAAGAAAATGATAATATTGAATATGAATCAGAACAAAACACTGCTACAGATAGCTACACGTTAGTTATTGAATGACAATGAATTTAAAAAATTAATATTATAGATTCATTTTACTTTATATTCAAAATAAAGTTAATATTAACTTAAAAAAACATATATTTGAATTTGACCACATTTGACCGTATTTTACCATATTTGACCGATCGGTCAATTGACAGAAACGTATTTGACCGGTTAAATGCACAACCCTGCTTTAAACCATTCATAACGCAAAATTAAACTAGATATTTATGGGACATTACACATAACATTTTCATATTCCTATTCCAATAGAGAAAAAAACATTAAAAGAACTAATTAATCAATTATTTAACAAACCGAACGGTTAAGACAATATTTTAAAACAGTCTAAATGAAGAAAAAAAACCAATACTTTAAAAAAAATAAATAGTATATTAATTTGAATATGTTACTGGCAATAAGGGAGCATTTTTAAAAAAAAAAAATAATATTTTAACTAATAGATTTTGCGATTTAGAGATTTTTTTAAAAAAAACTATTAAACTATAAGATTAAATTTTATATGAATTCTAAGTTATTAGAAACTTGGGCAAAATAAACCGAACCCGCATTTTGTTTAAATTGTTTAACCTCATTTCAAGAAAAAAAAACATCTGAATCTAATCTAGAATATTTTAAACGATCTTAATCTTTAAAAAAAAACAATAAATTTAAAAAATTATGACGTAAAGTTTAAAAATACTATTAAAGAACTTAAAACCAACGAAAAATAGATTTGAGTTTCGAAAAACTGGAAATTATATTATCGGAGTATACGATTCAAATGAAGAATTACAACAGAGAAAGCAAAAAAAAAAATGAAAGAAATAAGAAAAAAAAAAGAATGGAAGATGGTTACAAATGGGGGAAATGAAATCAGAGACCTTTAGGTCCGAGCCTAAGATCGAGTACATGAACCGGGCGGTAAAAAATTTTTTTAAATAAACCCGGGTCGAATATTTCAGGTCGCGATTATTATATGTTAGCGGCAATGCGTTGTTTTTTTTCAACTTTATAAGTCATTTTTTGAGCTCGAATCTGATTTTACCAGAAATGTATTCCATCCTGTTTGGAATACCTATTCTATGAGATCCATACAATTTTTGCCACGAACTCTGGAACCCAATATAATTTATATCAGTTTTTCCGTAGATTATGACTCTTAACGGCAAAGTTGTCTACGATTCATAAAATATAGGTATTCTAAACATGCTGAAACACGTTTACGGTAAGATCGAATTTTTGAATTTATAAATTTAAAAAGCGCTCAAAAAATAATTAAGTTGAAAAAATAACACATCGCCGGAAAAAACATATTGATGACGCAAATATAATATACTATATATATACATATATATTTATATATACATATATATTTATATATATAATAAATGGATGAAATAAAAAGAATAAAATATTGTTGTGTTAATTGAATAACACATCCCATTCATTCACTTCTCCCTTTCTATATTTTAAAACCCTGGGCGGGCCTAAAATTTTATTTTTAAAAAATCCGGGTCCCGCAGAAAATTTAGAAATCCGGGCCGAACATTTTTTGTACAAATCCGGGTGGGGCATGTGGTACCTCGAATAATAAATTACGGGAATGAAGGAATATATACATTCAAACGTACTTCAATCTGGAATGGATGTTATTGGCTAGCTCGCGTTTGGCCATGAAAGATTTATGCGTGAGTTCCTTGACGTGGGAGAATTGCTTAAGCATGAAGGATAACTGTCTTTTGTGACTAGAACAAAGGTCGGGCAAAATGGAAGGATCGTTTTCCTTGTTGGCTCTGTACTGATTCTGGATAAAGCCCTTTTAGTCGAATTATTTTTTAAAGATATTCATTCAATTTATATTGTCAATAAAAAAATAAATTAAAATCTTTTTTTTTATAATGGTATATAAACCCTTGTTAGTTCGGCCTGGTCTTTGTAAAGTCTTTCCACTTCGGCTACTAAGCGCTCTAATCCAAAAAGTCTATTTTCTAACCCCCCGATCCGTTTCATTGGCTCGTTATCAGCCGAATCGAGAGTTAGAGTGATCTCCATCTTGAGTTGGGCTGAGTCAGTCCCGAGGCTCATAGATGACAAATCTGAGAGACAGCTGGCTAGCAAAGTTTTTATCCTCTCGCCGCCAGAGTCACAATAAAATTCGACGTTTTCCTTATTCGGTAAATCGTCAAGGAAGTCCAATTCTTTGGCGTTTTTATCGAGCGAAGAGTTGTTTTGCTTGGCGGTTTCGGTGCCTTGCCGAAGAAATTGAACGTTTGTCGCCGTGATCGTGACACCGGCATCAGCCAGACGCCGCTCCACATACTCCAGCATGGTCATTGATTCGCTCTTCGGAATTTTTCCTAGCGCATTGATAGCTCTTTCGACAAGACGCGACTTGAAAAATCGCCGGAAAATTCGAGCTTTAAGGGTATTAGAGTATTTTGAATACAATTATAGTAATATGGAAAAGGTATCAAAATAAATTATTTAGTAAATGTTTGAAAAATAAACTAACCAGATTTGGCGCAGGGCAAATTAGTGTCGCGGGAAGAATGCGACGCATCTCCGAATCCGTCATTCGCAATGACGTCTAGAAAATATGTGGAACGCCGACGAAAGGCTGAAAGACTGTCCTCGAGATTGGCCAGTACGGCGGCCCAAGCCTGTTGCATCAAGTGCTGATCGTGCACGGCTGATTGACACTTCTTCAAATAGGTTTTTGAAATCTCGTCGATATACTTACAAAAAATGCGCAGAACGACAATTAAAATATTTTTTAAGTGATAGAATCGCTAGATATGAGAAAAAAAGAAGAACCCAAAATATTATGCACCACCAATAATTGGAGTGTTGCACTGTGTGTTCGCAATGGTTTTAAAAAAATGATAAAAAATTTAGCGGAGTTAAAGCACTATTGTTAACCTAGCAAAAATGTAATGATGGGTCTAGGGGAAATTTATTCAGTTCTTTATCTAACATTCTTCTTAACTTCATTTATCCCTTTTTCCACGAATTTCGCTCAACTAATTATTTGAGGTTGAGAGGCGTATAACAATACTCTGGATGCCCCCCTTACATTTATAAGCCATCAGTGAAGCTTTCTCCGTTAGGCCTACGCGTAACATCTTTCCGTTCTCCCTACAATATTTCATATATCCTCAAAAGCGGATAGCAAGGCTGCGCAGAAGCTTAAGCTATTTAAAATTATAAAGGTGGGGAAGTCTTAAAATTGAGAAACAAAGACTTCTGTGCCCTTAAATCTAAATAAGAAAACGTTATTTAAAATGGGAAAGTTGAATTCTTAAGTTTTTTTTTGCTCTTCCTTTCATTCTTTCTTTATTCTTTATTCTTTCTTTCTTTTCTCTCTTTTCTTTCATCATATTATTTGATATTACGATAAACGTATTTCGAAACAAGAAAATAATAAATATGTTTTTTATTTTAAATAGAAAGCCTTAAAGGGTGGATTTATAGAAGTATAATTTATTATTGATAAAAAAAAAATATATTAAATTATTATTTTTGGAAAATTATTGATTTGGAACAAAAGCTAGATAAATCAAATCGATTCGAAGCTTTAAAAAATAGTCATTATTTAAAAAAAAATAAATGATTACGTTTAATTGGCTTATATTTTAAAAATAAAATGGGCATACGTTCTAGTGTTAATTAGCCAGGATAGGTCCATTCAAAAACGAACACGAATAATAAGTGCGTTCTTCGCATTCGATTGGTTCATATATCAAATAATAATAATAAAAAAAAATTTAAACTCAATTATGCGTAGCGTAACCATTAGAGGTGAGTACTCTAGAAGAAAACCCCAAGGCTCACAAGAACTTCGGGGTCTAAATATATAAAAGCGTATACATGCTTTCGAATTTTCATGTTTTCTAATATTCCGAATGAGGGGCTAACTCAATATTTTAGCCCGAAAAATATTGCTTAAGCCCGGAGATTTCGCTAAAAGATGTCCAAACCTTATGTGCCATCCATAACCAACCATTTTTTCTGGATAAAATGTCGAGTTAGCCCCCGCTTTTAAAAATCGGCTCAAACCGAACCGTTAAACAACACCTAATTATGTAGATGTAAAATTTAAGTCGATAAAAAAATATATATATATTTTAAAGTATAAATCGCCAGTATTTGAATATTTTTATTCGTCTAAGATATAAAAATAAAAATTTCCGTTGCCAGTCAGAGTTTGAAATATCTTCAAAATCAAAAAAAAAGAAAAAAAAAACTTAAAAGATTTTTTTCGAGGAATGCTCAATCTGTTTTTTTTTGTCAAAAAAATCTTCCATTTTTTGAATTTCTTTAAAGATTTTTGGCGCCAAATTTTGGGTTAGTTGTAAAGTAGACGGCTCTCGATTTGAGCCGAATTTTAAAATCGCCACCTTTGTGCCAATCATGACCAAAAATTTTATCCTTTTCTCTAAAAAGAGAAAGAAGAAAGAAAAGAAAAGAAAGAAGAAAGAAAAAAGAAAGAAAGAAGAAAGAAAAGAAAGAAGAAAGAAAAAGAAAAGAAAGAAAGAAAAAAGAGGAAAATATTACGCAAACCTGAAGATTTTGGTCATAGATGGGCACAGAGGTCTTGGACATCTATTCGCGAAATCTCGATGTTTAGGCAATATTTTTCTGGCTAAAATATTAAGTTAGCCCTTTTTTAAAAAAATCTGCTCAAATGGAGCCCGTTTAGCAACAACTAATCGTAAGTATTTTGGCCATCAATTTCAAAAACATGTTTTTTTAAAAAACAATATCAGGTGACACATGACTACTCATTTTTTTTTCTTGGAATATTTTGTGATAAATAAAATAAAATAAATTGCTTGAATATTATTTAAATTTTAATGCAATAACATTGAAAATAGAGATTAAAAATAAAAAAGTTTTGAAATTTAAGATTTTCTTCCCTTTATTGCATTTTTGAAAAAATTCAGACCCCGTTTGAATTTTATAAATTTTTATTTTTTTTTTAAAAAAACAAAAATAAATAAATACGTTAATATATATTATATTAAAGGACCAGCTGTTTCGAGAAAAAAAACCAGCTGGATTATTAAACAGTTAATCAGAAAAAACGGGTCGAATTAAAAGAGAAAAATCCGGCCGGATTCAAAGAGAAACAAACCGTGCGCGGAACGGTATCTGATTATCAGATAATTTTATCTTTTTTTTTATATATTTGTGATTTCAATCTTTGAAAAGATTTTTTTTTATGCACGAAAATTACAAAGGATTTACTTATTTAAAAGACCAATCTATAAAAAATTTTTTTGGCATTTTAAGGTAACATTTGATTAAGACAAAGACATCTTTGAAAAAAAAAAAAATCTTCATTAACCGCTTAATTCATACTTAATTATACCCTAAAATGAATTATTAATATACGAATCGAATATGAATCAGAGATCAGCAAATCACGACCGGGTCCGCACCAGACCCGAAGGGGTTTTGGACCGAGCCTATTTTTTTAAAAAACTTCGGTCGGGGCTGGGTTGGGCCTAATATATTTTTTTTAAATCGAGTCGGGCGGGTCGGTCTCGGGCTTTTCGGGACGAATAAAATAATTTTTCTTTCGGGATCGGGCCGGGTTGGACATCCGGCCGGGACGAGCCGGGCCGGTTATATACAGATCACTCATATGAATCTAATGCAAATATTTGATTCGTATTTTTGTTGTATAATATATAATACTGATTTATGTAAAAAATAAAAAATACACAAAAATTTAATGGCGAGATTACAGTGGGGGAAAATGAGCAGTCCATGCAAGTAAGAAATTTTTATTCCGACTATAGCCATGAATATCGCTAAACCCAATTCTCATATTTCGATTTACCTCGATGACTCGAGCACTCACGTACACCCCACCCCCCCCCCCCCTTCCCTCCAGATTTGGGTTAAGGTTAAGTTTTATATTTATAAAATTGGGTGCATTTCATTTATTTTTTTCTATAATAAATAATTTTTGAGAGTAAAGCTACTTTACCCTACCTTTTTTTGTCAATTTTCTTCTTTTTTTTTTTTATAAAACAAATATTAGATTTAATTCTATAATTTTATTTTTTTTAAACCCTGATATTTTATCGTTCCTTCTCGTGTATTTAAGAACCCTAAAATTAGCGTGCAAAGACTCCGCCAAACGAATGGGAATAGGGGTTGCCAGTCCTCCATGTCTCAAAATTCGAGTCGATAGAAAATTTGGTTAATTTTTTTATGAAGGTGGTCAAATTCCGGATAATAAATTCGGCAACCGTATTTAATACCAACTCAACCCCGACTAATAAATTCGGTTTAACCGTTTTCGAAGCCGGCAAAGCCGACAAAAAGTGTAGGTATTTAGCAAGGATTTAGGAAGTGCATCAAGATAACCTTAAAAAAAATAATATATCATCGATCAAATAAAACTATTTCTACTTTAATTATAAATATGAGAATTTGAAAAAAAATGATTTAAAAAAATCCTTTGTTATACAATTGCTTTAAAAATTATATACATAAGTTTCTTTCTTTCATTCTTTTTATTTCTTTCTCTTTTCATTTTTATTTCTTTCCATTCTATCTATTTTTTTCTTCTTTCTTTATCAATATTTATTAAAAATCATTTTACCCCGATATTTTAAAAGAAAAACTTCCTTTAGCACCTTCTAAGTATGAAAATTACAGAAGCCTCTGTTAATCAATGTTTAAAAGAAACGGAAAGAAATAAATGAGAAAATGGACTAAAAAAAAGGTATACATGACATTTTCTACCCCAAAAAATAATTAAATCAATAAATTTTAAAATTTAATAAAATATCATTTTAAAAAATTTGATAATGGTGTTTATAATACTGAGCAGAGTAATGAAGGTCAGCGGCCCAATCCTCTCGATCTTAGACCGGAATAGGGCTAGACCGGTTAACAACCCGGTCTTTTTTCGGGGATCGCGGTCTCTTAATTATTTTTTATACTAAGAGGAGTTACTTTAGTTTTATTATGTGATTTTTTTCCTTCTGTCTTATTTTCATTTTTTATTTTGCAAATATACTATAAAAACATGTAACTTCGTCAAAAAAAAAAGAAAGAAGCATTTTACTTTTTAATTTTAAATATTTGCATAATTTTATTATATTATTCATATTCGATATGATATTTGATGTCAACATTAAATACTTTTTATATTTAATAAAATGAATAAAACAAAAAAAAAATATGTGAAGAGACCATTTTAATCCCCGATTAATATATTTAATAATTTTCTAAAGGCTAAAGAAAACTAACCAGTTAAAGGATAAGAAATTTTAATGGCATTCTAAACCAAATCTTACGGCGAAGATAGATAAATTCCTACGGGTTATTTATCTTTTCCCCAATTTCGAAAAAAAATTTTGTTGGGAGGGAATTCTGTGCCATTTGTCGCTTCTGGGGAATTTTCACCTCGGGATTATTATCTCCTTACAATATATATTGGGGAAAGGAAGGAAGGAAGGAAGGAAGGAAGGAAGGAAGGAAAGAAAGAAAGAAAGAAAGAAAGAAAGAAAGAAAGAAAGAAAGAAAGAAAGAAAGAAAGAAAGAAAGAAAGAAAGAAAGAAAGAAAGAAAGAAAGAAAGAAAGAAAGAAAGAAAGAAAGAAAGAAAGAAAGAAAGAAAGAAAGAAAGAAAGAAAGAAAGAAAGAAAGAAAGAAAGAAAGAAAGAAAGAAAGAAAGAAAGAAATTCTTCGTTCCGTTTAAATTTAATTAATAAAAAATTTTTTAAATAATTTTGATACAAAAAAATGATAATAATGATTAAAAAATGAAATAATAAGTTAGTTTGTGAACAAAAGTAGAAATATATTTTTTATATCAATTTTAATTTATTTAAATATGATAATAATGATAGATTAGATATTATTAAAGGTTCAATTTTAAATTGGTTAAATAATTATAAAAACAAATTAAATTTGGCTTTTTATATATATACATATATACTATATATATAAAATCGATAGCAAAAAAATCAGTATTAAATAGTGATCCTAGATTAAACTACAAAGCAGAGGTTATGGATTTGATTATTACAAGTGTTGTTAAAAAACTCAATTTAGTCCATATTTAGAAAACATTTAAATTCAAGATATTTAACTCGATTAATTCTACCTACACCTCATCTATCATAGGATGGCAAAAAAGGCTTGCAATACTTAGGTAAGGGCTAAATTTTGATTTAACCAACATTTCCTTTAAATTGGGATAGAAATTCATTAAGATCACACCTCTTACCTCTAGTAATCAAATAGCAATCTCTTAAACAACGATCACATTTACTAAACAATAAGATTTATTTTATATCTAAATATATATAAACGGAATCACGCAATTGCTTTAGATATTCTATATATTATACCCCGTAGCAAAAAACCCCAAGTAGTTGGCTTTGCTGTATTTGAACACAGATCTATATGGTTAGGTAATGTATGATGCACTCACCCACTGCACCACAAGCGCCATTTAAAAAAAAATACATCATGACGCTTATATTTTAAATGAAAATCAATAACGTTCAACGCTCTACAAAATTATCCCAAAAGCAAACCCCCTAAATATGCTACTGAAATAAATATTTTTTTAATAAAAATTTTTTTAAAATTATATAATCGTGATTAGTATGAATCGATTATTTGTATTGGCTGGCACGTCAAAATTTATAATTTTTTAAAAAATAGTAATGAAAAGAAAACATTTTTCTTATCCAATCATTTTTTTGGAGCCAAATGATATAAAAAATATTCGGTGGGGGGGGGGGGGGGGATAGAAAATTAAGAAATTTGTAAACCGAACCAGGCAACCAGGCACTTGATCGAATTAAAATTAGCAAAAAAAAACAATACCTATAGCCACCCCCTCTTCAATTTCAATTCCTCTTATTGTCATATAGTCCCCCTCCCCACCCCCATGATAAAAGTCTCTGGAATGAACATCCTAAAAAAAAACCATCCTAGTTAAGGGGATTCATAAAATGACTCGAATTATAGAAAACGTCACGTAGAATTTTTCGATTATATCGTCTAGGCATGTCGGCCTACTTGTCCCGCCCCCACACAGCTGACGAATACAATTTTTTCTCTTTGCCCAAGCCCATTTTTATGCTCATGCTCTGCCCAATTTTTATTTTTAAATTATGCCTGAGATAAGCATCCGGGAGGCTTACAGAGATCTAATTCCAAAATTTCGTGTCCTAGTTCACTAATAATAGCAACAAGTTTCTCGACGAATTTAGGAATTAATGTGTAATAACATTAATTCATGAATTCGGTGAGAAAATTCGTTGTTAATTTCAGATAAAAAAAAATATATATATAATAATATAAATAAAGTTTTTAAAATTATTATAACAACATATATTAGATGTAAAAATAAAATTTCAATTTTAAAATGGAATTTTGTCGTAATTCCTAATTATCACACTGACAAGTATGAATTCCAACAATTAGTTAAGGAAATAAATATGGATGTAACAAATATAACGATTACAGAGGCTTCTTAGTTAAATTTTTAAAATGGAAGGTTATAAGAGTGTTAAATTATATAATGTAACGCTTCCTGAAAAGTAACGCGATTTGTAACTTTTCTGCACCAACTATACCTAAGCACCATTACAAACACTAAAAGTTTACAAATCATATTGATATACGATGTTTCCTCGGACATGCTTATTAAACATCAAAATAGATGTAAATCATAATTTAACTACATGAGCTGGCTAATAGCAATTTATGGGGCATCCCAGTCGATTTTGAAAAAAAAAATTATATTAAAAGGGAACAGTCGACAAGAAAATTTCCTACGTTATAAAATGATATACATATTAATATAATAAATGTATAAAAATTGTTTTAATAATATGTAAATATTTTTTCTCCCTCCTTTGATAACAGTCTTGTAAAAAAATCCTACAATATTGATGAATTATTTTTGCTTTCTTCGATAAATATACTATATTATTATTTTTGGTATTGGTATTATTTATTAGTATATTTTTACATTTCATCATATAAATGGCCATTTCAAATCAAATCCTGCATTTTTCAGCCTTGCAATTCTGATAAAAATTAGTATAGGAGGATTAGACGGGCTATCGCTAGCTCAGATTTGAACTTACTAGCTTTTATATTATCCAAGAATATTAGGTGTTAATAGAGCAAAAAACGACATTTTTATATTTTGGTAAATTTAAGATAATTAGCTATTGATTAAAAACTAAATCAATAATTTGAATAAGAAATTGGCATAAATGAATATAAAATTATAATTTTTGTAATAAGATCAGGTTATGTCTAGTGTTAAAAGTTAAAAACTATTATGATGATTTCCTATTCTTGCAATATTTATCTTCTGATGATCATTAATTATATGGATGCTACCCATAAATCGATAATGACCCCTTTAGATGTTTTAAATGGTTAAAAAAACTATGGCTACATTAAAAAATTAAAATATATGTCATCATTATTTTCTGAAATATAATATTTACATTAATTTTTATAAATAGTCCTTTGTCATGCAAATTATTGCAGGGAACAATGGGTAATCAGCTAATAAGAGAAAAAACATTCTAAAAATTGGATATCCTAGATTATTAAAAATTTAATCTCTTTTACTAAGTCATGTACCAAATATTATATTCAACTTGACTTAGTTTTATTTTATAGGATAGGAGTTTAATTCTAATAAATAGAATTTATTATCATAATTTAAAATGTATAAAATAGGTTACCACCAAGAGGTGGTATCAAGAAATAAGCTAAGTCTGGCAAATAGTAAATATATTTATATTAAATTGTAAAAAATATAATAAAATAATATATATATATATATATATATTAATACAAAAATGTAGTAATAATGTTAGATCTAATTTTCTTTTATAATTTGATTATTCATTAATTATTTCAGAGCTAACTGGTGTTAATTCCCAATGAATATTTAACACAAAACAATTCAATCTATTTTGTGAAGTAGTATTTTGCAAATATGTTTTTAGCCATTTTTTCTTTCAAATTGTTGTTTAAGATATATGCATACATTTTTGGGAGACAGGGGGTAAGGAGGATATTTTTTATTAGTTTAAAATGATATTCACAAAAAGTAAATATAAAAGGGTGGGGTAGATTACCCCTTCCCCCCCCCTGCTATGGCTGTGTATATCTGTATAATCATCCATGAGATTGTCAAAAAAAAAATTTACAAATATTTTAAACATTACAATATTCTAAAATATAAATTGAAATTGTATATCTATATATTAATAATCAAAGATATAATCTATAAATAAAAATATACTTGAGCTAATTGTGTTCGGGCAGTTAAAGTATTAAAGCTAGGTTCCAACAACAAGCAACCCTGCACTCTTTCTTTGATATCCAAAATTTCTAATCATAACCATTAATTATCAAATATAAAGATAATATTTTAAAATATAAAATAGTAATAACAAACCATTGTCAGATTCATCATCATTTTCAGCAGAAATAGGATTATCAATGCATATTTTATTGAATAGAAATATAGGATTTGAATCCTGAAATATTTGATCCAATTTATGGTATATATATTTATAAAATAATTACTGTTCCTGCAGAATAGGTGCATATTTTTGCATTGTCAGATAAACTTATACCACCACTGACTATCAAAATCTGTTTATCTTCAGGTATTTTATAGTCCTCAAATATTGCTTTTTTAAGTGACCTGACCCTATAAAAATTTGAATAAGATTTGACTATTAGTTTTTAATGTTTAAAAAAAATGATTATATATATATATATATTTCAGAAATTAATAAATATATTATTGGATTACGGTTGAAAGGCATAATTAATATCAAATGTGATTATTTTGCCAGGATCGACTAGAAATACATATAACATCGCCTTTTAATAAATCGGACTCACCAAATTTACTTAAATAATGTTATTTAAAAAAATAAAAAGGAAAAATAATAATAAAAAGGAAAAAATTGTGTAATATTAATCCATAATTTTTCAGCTTAAAAATATTTCTCTAATATCAATCATTAAATTAAAAATTAACATAATCATGCACACAAAAGTCTTTATTTTGTTATTCATCCAATAATTTTTTAAACAAAAACAAAAAACATATGATCGATTGATGAAATAATAAAAAATTCATTTTATTTACAAATATTTCGAAATATTGTTAAAAATATATATAGCCTATAAAAATAAAATTAAAAAGTGAAACAAAAATATTTATACAACTTTATATACCATTTATTTGTTCATATTCATAATTAAAAAATGTATTATTTTATGTACATATGGGGATATGGAATCCATTAGAATTTTAAAATATTCGGTTTATAATCTTTATTGAAAGCAATCTTTAAATATAAAAAAATATCATTAGACTGGAAATGTATTCAAGCATGTATAGGAAACCTATACACAATATTGCATTAAACTTTAAACTATTCTTGATTTACTTTACTCACACTAATTATTTCATAATTTTTTAATATAAAATTAAAAAGGAAAGAAGGATTTCAGACGGAGCAAGTTTTTAGGCAAAATTGTCTGAAGTTTATAATAGGGTTATTAATCCATACTGAATCTTAGGAGTCGGGAAGAATTTGCTTGTGGAAGGGTGGCATATTGAATGACTTATTTCACTTATATTTTTTTTTGAAAGGCTTTAGGCCTTTAGTAATGTTGTTAAACGGCTCGTTTTGAGCCAATTTTAAAAAACGGCTAACTCAATATTTTATCCAGAAAAATATTAAGCAAGCCTGAAAATTTTGATCATAGAAGGAACAAAGGTATAGACATATAAAAACGAAATCTCGAGGCTTAGGCAATATTTTCCTGGCTAAAATATTGAGCTAGCCTTTTTTAAAAAATCGGCCAAAATGAGCCGTTTAACAACACTAAACTTTATTAGTTCCATTCTTTAAATATTTTTTTATCAAAATTTTGTGGCCACATTAGTATTATAAATCTATATTTATATTTATCTTTTAAATTATTGTAAATTTCTTCCGATATTTTATGGGGGGAAATGAATATTTAAACAAAATTTCTGGGATTCGATCTAAAAAAAGATTATGATTTTTATCATAACCGCAACCATATTCATGTGGTATTTCAATTTTAATGGCTATTATTATGCTCCACCTTCTGATTAGGAAATATCAAATCAAATGGATAATGACTTCTCGTAAGGAAATCCGTTTACAGCATTTTCTTAGAAGACGATCCCTATTATGCGATTTATAATTTTAGGAAAAAAGGATTTTATAAACCACCTTTCCATTTTTATTTCCGGCCATTTTCTCTGGAATGGAAACGATTGATGAGATCGATAGCATCTCAAGAATACTGTTCTGTATATGGTAAAAATGAGGTCGAAATGATACTAGACTACTCCAAAGCATTGATGGAAGAAATGGAGAAATCGAATCTACCCTATTTCAATTTCAAATTTATCACTCGCTATACGCACTCCGACATGCAAGGACTGGTGTGCTAGATGACCTTTTGTACGATTATTTTGAAGACCTGATACAAAATGGTCGTTTAAAGAACTTTTTTCTTTTCCTATTCGGTGATCACGGTTTAAGATATGGGTCACCAAAACAGACTTTGGATGGTAAGATTAATTATACCCATATACATTTTTTTATAAATATTAATTAAATATAATTAGGAATGTTAGAGGATCGCATGCTTTCCCTTCTAGCCATTCCACCCGATAACTTCTTCACAGATGTCGATCAAAATGATACCATATTTAGAATCAACACCCAACGTCTAGTAACGGCTTTCGATTTCCATAAAACGTTGCTCAATTTATTCGACGAGATTACCAAGGGTAAGAACAAATATTCTCTAACCGTATCAGATCGTGAAAGAGATACTACCAAGGGTATTAGTTTCCTGGAACCGATACCCAAGAATCGCACTTGCGAATCAGCTTTCATATCCACGGAATACTGCCCGTGCAATTGGATAAAAACGGCTCCACCACAGGTGTCTAATAAAACTATCTCTGGTAATGCTAACGATATAGATGCCTTGTATATATCTAAGCTGATTAGATATGGTGTTGATTTAGCCATTAAAAATATCAAAAATATCTTACTAGTGGATGAATTGGAATTAGCTATCATAATTCAGGCCATTTTGGTAACAAATAATAATGTGACTAGTGAACAAGATCTCAAAATGCTGGCCGTATTGAACATAAACACGAGCGTTAATGTCGCAGTCAAAATAAGTGACATCGATGAAACTCAACTGCCAAAAGTATTCGAGTTATTAAAAAGATTCGTATTAGCATTTAAATTCTAACCTAATCAAGCGGCATACGAAGCGACATTAGAATTTGATCAGTAAAATGCATCCAATATTTTCAAAGAGATATAGATGATATTCCCGCTTGACCAGTGGCGTAGCTAGGAATTTTCCTTAGAGGAGGTCAATATATATAAAAGCTGGGGGGCTTCGCCCCCCAGACCCCCTTTAACGGGCTTTTGGCCCTTTTGCCCGGCTTTCGGCCGGGTTTATCTTATAAATCATAACTATATCTTCGATAATATATAATAAATATATTTTTTAAATGCATCAATAATATGTTATTATAATTTAGTATATAATTCTCAATGACTTTATAATAATACTATCCAGAATAACTTCAATAGTAATATAATATCCTTCCACAAACATCAAAACCAGAAAAATATAATTGATATAAAATCACTTTTAAGTCTTTTGAACGTATAAACTAAAATAAATTTTTGGTCTGGGAGGGGTCCAAACTCGAAAACCACCCCCGTAGCTACGCCACTGCGCTTGACGCTTACGAGATCCGCTCTTATTGCAGAAGTTAATCGCATTAAACCTTTTTGTCATTGTATATCTTAAACTCATATTTGTAAATAGTTAAGGTCAAGTGGGCTGGGTTATGACTGCCCTACAAACCGCAGGTTGCATTCAGATCGATTTTAGAAACATTAGAACTCTAATTATGTTGACAACCAATTGGGTTTATTTTCGGTTTGGATGACAAAATAAATAGAATCCACTTGGTTCATAAACTTGATCTGAATATAGAAGACTATTTTTTTAAAAAACCAAAATCATTTCTATTTGTGGAGTCGTCTGAACCCAAACTGTTGATCGAAACTATAATTATACGATATGTAAAAAACCTTTAATAAGAAGTAGAAGAAAATAAAAATCCAAACTTATATACAAAAGGTAGTTATTTCAAAAATTTATAGTATTTATTTTATTTATTAATAAAATCCATACATTCATCATTTAAGGCTTAATAGCTTGGGGAGGGGATTAAGAGGTAAGATAACAAAATTCTGTATTGTCATTTGTGAGTTAGGTCTATATCTAGCCCATCCGTTAGAAAAATTTCTTTGACATTAGCTATCACTTCGAGATCTGTTGTTAATTAGTTAGTTGTGTAAAACCCAGATCCGGGATTTGGATTTAAAAAATTGACCAAACCAGCTCTGAGCGCGAACCCCAAACACCCGAGATCTGAACCCCTGGCCGTCCTTAGAGCAGGCCTGAGCATATAATTGGGTCTTAAATTTTACGACCAAGCAAATTAACAACATTTTTCGAGACTACCACAATTCCGTCATCTATGAACCAATGTTAATCCAGCTGACAGATACTTCTAATTTGGTTTACTAAATTGAGAATTCCAAGATTGAATAAAATTGTTGGATTACTCTTTGATGATGAGAGTCTATGTTCTTCGTATTTCGAGAAGGGTAAGCGTAGGAATTATAATGTGGCTAAAGTATCACGCAGAGCCAGTAATAAAGAATTCAATGAAAGTAGACCGTATTATGGTTTTATAAGTATTTTTGGTGTTTTTTTTATGAGATGATTTGAAGAAATGTGGTATTAATACTAATCTCCTGAAGAGAGTGCCTATGGATTGGATTTAAGTTCTCTTTGGGTTTGGTGAGGGGGATTAGTTTTACTCCAAAAAAGCATTGGTTGGGCGAGAATCGATACGTCTCATTGTAGGATCCTGTTGCAAAAAATTGCTACACTATAAGAACTTGAGAGCTTTAAAATAAATTTGTCTAGAGGCTCTCAAAAGCCATTGCTCTTTTCTTTTTTTGAAAGGTATAAATAACTTTCCTCATTACTTTATTGGAATTCTGTTGGATAAAATATAAGAATTAGATTCTGTGACCTAGCCACCTGGTGTGGGTAGTGCTTTTTCTTCTTCTTCTTCTAATAAATCCAAAAGTAATAAATCAAGAAATGAAATGAGTAACTTTTTGAAAACCAGAATGCAAAATATTAAAAAAGAAAAATAGTATGGCTTTATTTTTTATTGTATAAAGGTCATAATAAACCCTTTACTTGGGATGGTCTTTGCGAGAGGGTGGAGGTGAAGACATATAATAATACCTAGACTGACAATGCATTCATTAAAAGTGTAAATCAATGAAAACAGCTGGGGACGCCATTTTGATTAACCATATCATTATTAAAAATTTTAAACTCACTGAATCACGGGAAAATTTTTATTATTATTTTTTTTATTTATTTATTTTTTAAATTTTTTAAAAAAATTTTGTTTATATGGCTAGGGAGAAGTCGTATTTTAATTATAAAAATTTAGCTAAAACTTTCTAATTTGGTATTTGAATAATTTGAGCGATACAATTTTAATAAAATTATAATAACTGAAAACAATATTATATATATATGAGTATTAATTAAATTTAATTTTATCAATTTCAAACCCAACGATAACCAAATTAAACAAGTGCTTACTTTTAATTTATAAAATCTAATAATTAACTATTTCGTTTTTGAAATATCAACCTTTTTTCACAAAAAAAAAATTTATTCTAATAAATTGATTAATTATTTAGATTTATTTATTATTTTTTTAAAATTTAAATTAAAAAATAAATAATATTAAAAATTTCCCCGTGATTCAGTGAGTTACCATTAGTTGTTATTGACCTTATTCCAAATATTAGCAACAAGCGTGTTTTACTTTAAATTAAACCGTACTAAAATTTTATCTGTGAATGAATGAGAAATAAATATTTATAAATAAATTAAAATTTCTTATCAGTTATTTTTATCTTTAATCCATAAATAGTGATATACATTACCCTACCCCCTGAAAATTTAAAGGCAAATCGCTCCTACCCTGCAATCCTGCCCTTCCTCTCTTTCATGTAGACGTTGTATGCAGGTAAATATTTCCAGATTTTTCTTGATTCATAAATTCCCCTTTTATTTTAAATGATTCCATTATAATAAATTCCCAAACTAGTAAAATTTTAAATAGATCAACTTATAATTTCTCTAGAAAGCATCATTGCAGTCCCGTCTAATGGATTGCTTTGAAAATGGAAGTAAATTACTTAAATAAATTTAAAATCATTTATTTTAGAAATTCATTTTTGATAAGTACAAATTGGCCTAAAAATCTAGAGGCTGTAAGGGGTAAAACAACAAATATATGACTATGCCAATATTTCAAATTAAATGAATATGATGGGCTTCGACATATTGACGAAGATTAAAGACAATCGGAAAAGGTCTTACCCTGAGTTCGTCGGTATTTGGGAATGATAATGCTTCGATAGTCGTTGTATTGAGGGGGATGGGTTTACAGACTGGGTATTAGTTGTAGGGATTTAGCTCAATTTAAATATAGGGATTTAAATAAGAATTAATCATGCAAAAATGGTATATTTATTTAATAAAACAAGTATAAAACCAAATGCGATTAAAGTAAAACTGATTATCTTTTATAATATAAAATCTCTTTTATATCAAAAGTAAATCAATTATGTAAGTATATACCATATAAAAATAACGTTTTCTATATCCAATTTATTCTAATATAAAAGTTTAATTGATCGCCTTAAACCTTCATTATCTAAAACGAAAAAATATATTAACACAATAAAAAAATAAATCGTTACGATTATGTAACAAAGATATTACTAATAAATTATTTTAAAATTCATTGGCTGTGTGGATAATTTATCTTAAATCGAGTGTGAAAAGGACTTTTATCTTATGAGTTTGATTATGGCAGATTGCAGATGAACGAACGAGTTTAAGAGTAAATAATTTGTCGAATTTAATGGACCTCAGGATTCAAGACCCATATATCAAAATATGGAAAAGGAATCATCGCTGGCGAATGAAATCTTTTAAAGGGAAATACAACCCAAAGAAAAAAAAATAGAAGTGAAAGATTTGAAAATTTTTAAAATTAATATTTTATAACTTGTATAGACCCCCCCCCCCTCCAACCACTTGCAAGCACAAGTTTCAATTAATTTAATTCATCTACAAAAAGTACAAGAATTAAAGGGATTAGTCGGATGGTGTGACTAGGAATGGTGTGAATATTACGACAATTTCCAATTCTAATTCGGGCAATTAATCAGAAGATGCTATTATTATGAATATGGATAACACAACGAACAAACTTTCATCTTTTATTAAAGTTGAAAATAAAGGTTAAATTTTATGGTTATACAGAAAAAGTTGCTAAATTAAATGTATTAAGATGCACAATCTTTAATTATATTTAGATTCAAAATGAGATATAAATGATTATATCTAATCTATGGCTTTTGACAATAAACCGTCAATGGATGGTTTCTCAGATTTAATTGATTCTTTTAAAATTCAGAATATCGATTAAATTCTATTTAAAAAAATAATAGAATTAGTATCAGTTAAATATGGTTTCTCTTATTTTAAACTAGTTCCTTTTTTTTTGTTTAGCCTTAAATACATATAAATAATATTGATATGGTAAATGATAAAACACTAAAATAATATTAAAACCAAAAACTTCAATTGGAAATTTATACTTGTTTTTAGGTATATTTTAATTATTAAATTAAGCTATTTTTAGGGCCTTCGATACTCTTAATATATATTTTTATTTAGTAATTTTATATATTTTTATAGTTGTTTTAATATTTTAGAGTTTTATCATTTTTTTAAAAAATTATACCAATATCAATATTATCAAAATAAAATTTTAAAAATACATATAAATTAAAAGTAGTATTTTTTATCCCTCTTATATTTGGCCTTAAATACATAAAAATTAAATATAGTTTTCTTAAGTCCCTTTGATTCGCTTTTTCTTTTAAGGGTTTTTCATACTTTTAGATTCCTTAAGGTGTTCATTAATCATAAATTAGATATTTACGTTCCGGAGATCGTCTTAAATTCGGAGGTATAATTAGAGTTCCGGTTTTATCCTTAGTTATGTAAGATAAAACTTACAATCAGTATTTACATGGGCGGGGGGTTAGGATAAATTTAATGGGGTGTTATCTATTAAATTTTTAGATGAAATAAGGCAAAATATATTGGTGCAAAAATTAAATTGTAGACCTATTTAATAATACAATGATATTGCTAATTCACCAACCAAACCTATATATAGCACAAAATCGTACACATTATTTCCCAAATAAAACTTTGTGCCATCCCTTTAGATGAAATTTAAAAGGGTTAGACATTCTCAGCAAACTCATATTTATGCCAAACTATATACTATTATAATGCATTCGTTGTAAATGAGAGGGTTTTTAATTGAATTTATGATCTAAAAAATAACTTTTATATTCACAATATTTTGATGGTTGATAGTAGTTACCTAATTTAAATTCTTTCTAAAATTTATGGAGTGCCATAATTAAAATAAAAAGGGGTAATAAAGTAAAAATATGGCCCTCAAGGCGGCGGGAATTTTTTAAGGGGTAGAGGTTTTTGAGGGGGGTTTGCACCCAATGAAAATCCTGTCATGTAGACGCTGAACACAACATATTTGCAAGAACGTCCCTGCTTTGCACCAATTTTATTTATTACTTTATTTCCCTATAAAAGGGACTAATTTTTATGTTTATCGTCATCTTATATATATGTTTATAAATTTTTATAATTGCGTTTTATAAAATCTATTATTTTTATGGTTTAATAAAATATTTATAGTTTGTAATTAATTGCGTTTTATAAAAGTCTATTTGTGGTTTAATAAAATTAATATTGAGTTAATCATGACCCTTACCAGATCTCAAGGGTTAGAGGATCCTTCGGCGACTGTTCCCGTAAATGATACGACCAATGTGCCCTCATTTAAAAAAATTGAAATGAGAGCAGAAGAAAAATAGGTGAAATTAATTCATGATAATTATTGTATCTTAAAAATATATGCAATAATATTTTTTTCAATATCTCATCAGAACTAATTTTTAGCCTGATGAGTACTGGAGGAAGGCAATAAATTATCTCTAGTTACCCTGGAGACGGATTTGATCGTCTGACAAAATTATGGCCCGACATGTCAAATTTTTTATAATTATCTCAAGGATGACAGGAAATATTTAATCAAAAATATGATATCCCAATTAAAGTTTAAAAAAATATATTTCTTCATAATTTTTTAATGTACATTAATGAGTTGAACATTCTATCAGATAACTCATATTCCTGACAATATACTATAAAAAAGCATTCATCATAAATGAGGTGGGAAGGTCTTTAATTGAATTAATATGCTAAAAAATAACTTTTACATTTAACATGTTTTGATAGTTTGTAGTAGCATCAATAATTTAAGTATTCTATTTAGAATATAAGAAGGGATTACTATTATAATTAAAAAAGTGGGAATAGACGCCGTGGTGAGAAATATTTTAGGTGGTAGAGTAAGGTTTTTGAGGGGAACTCGCTTCCATTGAATATTTTATCATGTAGGCGCTGGGGTAAAGATGTGCATATGACTACCGTGTGAGCTATTATATGTGAATGACCTTGCATGGCAACTAGTGAGGATATGATTGGATGGAAGATGGCTATGGAGACATGATGAAGAAGTGGGGGTGCACTTAACACAGGTAAAGGAAACCGCCACCTAGCTTTGTGTATAACAAAAGGAGTTGCTAGAAATTGAATCCAATGAACCCGTAATCAGAAATGAGTCTATAAAACATTTAGTGATGAGAAAGGAGACCTATGGTAACAAGTGTGACCATTATCTGTAGAACATGCGAATAATGTAGACTGGTTTGATATCTGCAATGGTTCAACTCATGAAAATATTTTGTTATTTGGGACACACTGAAGGTAGATGGAGGTGTTGATTTTGCTGTTGTTGCAAATGTCAGATATGCGTGTTCGAAGCTGCGAGAAACGCCGTCTATTCCAACAATAAAACATGTATCTCTATGCGAGAATGTATTATGATGGTGAAATATGGGTAATAACTGTAAAGGAAGCTAAATTTAAGGAACCGAGATGAAAATGTTATAGCTATCGAGAGAGAAAAACAAGTAGTGAAGTGTGAGATTGGATGGGAATAGAAGAGATTGGAGGGGTGACGAAAAGAAATAGATTGAGGTTAGATATGTAGAACGAAAGATGATTGGGTAAAGAGATGCCCCTAGATGGGAGAAAGGGAATTAAGGCTTCGAAGACTCAAAACTCGTGGATAAGTGATAACGGATAATCAGAACAATAAATCTGACCAAATAGCGATGATCAGGAGCGGTAAAGGGGGATCATAGAGGAAACCGATATTTAGGTAAGCCTTAGTTAACGGATAAGTTATTATATATTTACCAAATAAATATAATTCATGTTTCTGCGTGTCTTTTTATATTAATACAAATTTGTTAAAATATAATTGAAAAATCTTTCATAATTTTGCTAAAATCATGACCGAAACCTTTTAAAATGTAAGCCCGAACCGTCACATTTTAATTTCTCGCCCCAGTTCGGGTGCTTGATGGAAAAATTATAACTCAATAAGGTATAACAATTATCATGGCGAGTTGCGTTTGTTATTCATAACTAATATTGTTTAATTTCAATATATATAATATTATATTCATTATTTAAAAAAAAAAAAATTAAAATTTTAATACAATATTATGAGTAGTCGTTAAATGCTCATTTAAAAACAAAAATGTCAAATTCGAATTTCATTCCTATAACCATCGGAAAAATTTTATGGATATAAATCAAGACTAAAATTTTCATGTCCCCTTATAGAAAAATAAAAAAAAAATCGAAAAATGAAGATAGAAATAATAATAAATGTAAATAAGTTGTCAATGTCAAATGTCGATTTAAAAAAAAAAATTTTTTTACTATTTAAAACAATTGATTCTTTTTTAAAATAATTAAATTAAAAAAAGGAGAAGAAAAGAAGAAATGATAAAAATTTTTTTTTTTTTTAAAAAGCGCGAAAATAAATTTCCGTTTTTATAAATTAAATCATAATAAAAAAAATGCAACAAAGCCATAATAATAAATAAAAAAGGATATTCATCCACCATCTTCTAACGTTATATATTTAATTTACTAATTTGGTCAGTTTTACTTCCATTTTTTTGTGATTGCATATTATAATATCTATTCTTTTATAGTAAATGGAAATAATTTTCATTATTCTTCAAGCGTATGATGAACGTAAGAAAATCCTAAGAACTCGCTGTATTCATCATCCGTAAACTTCAATTCGATATTATCTTCCCGGCATCCTTTGCAATGAGCAGTCCCTAAAGGGTGGTGTTCTGGTCGTGAAATTTTCGGCATTTTGACGTGCTCGTCTAGCTTTGACATCACCGATTTCGCACATTCGCAGTAGAAGCCACTATCTTTTTTGTTTCCTATACTTTGACCTAATTTTTAATTTTAAGAAGTTTAAAAATATAAGTTAAACAAATAAATAATGACAGATAATATCAGTCATGTTTCTATATTAACCAACCACATAATATTTCCTTTAAAGAGAAAAATAATTTTATATGAAAAGGTTCTATTAATTAAAAGCTGTGTCGACCTCAATGACATAAATTACTTACCCAAACTGAAGTTTTAATCTTTAAAATACACGTTAAAGCTAAGAATATGGATCAGCTGATGTGATACGCCATTTTGATTTTTTCAAAATATTTTTTAATACATAAATTGAACTCCGAATTTTTCTTCTTAAGGTTTTCATAAAATTTTTATGTAAATTATTTATATGGTTTGCAGTTGTTTTCGAACAAAAACTTTAAAGCAAAAAATTTTTAATGTTTATTTCTCTTTCAATTTAAACATATCATTCATAGGAACAAATATCTTAAAATATAACTTTTGCAGTTAAATTTATAAATTATTCTATATCAGCTGAATATCTATAAAATTGTTTTAAAAATTTTTAAATAAATTTCTTTGTATAAATAATATTGTATCAATTGGCATTGTATAAAAATATCATAAATAATCGAAATATTCTTAAGAAAATTAATTTATAGCTAAAATTAATATTAAATACATGTGAACTTCTTTTATATATATTATATATCATAATAATTAATGGACGCCATGACTGAGCAAGGATTTATATATTCCTTTAATTTAATAGTTAACCATTTTCATCATTCAATTTTAAAAAATATTTATAAAAATTAAATATTTCGCAATAAAATTTTTTCCTTCAAAGTTTCAACAAAATTATGCTGGCGATTTACATTTTTTTAAATATTATTTTTTATAACAATGTTTGTGTTTAATAGATGATACAATAATGGTTTTAAACTTTGATGTCATTCTTTTAAACTTCCTTCATTAAGATAATTTTATTCTATATTACTTTCCAAATTTTATATGGTAAAATTATCCTCGTAAAAAATAAGGAGTTCTATTAAAAAAGCCACAATTTTCTATTTATTCAAAAATAAGTTTATAGAAGTATCGCGATTTTGCTGAACCCTGTCCTATATGTCATTAGCTGTCTATAAAATATTAAATTTTTTGATCCAATATTCCCTCAAAACAGATCTGATAATCCATTTTAGGCGGATATCAGAACACCTAGGAAAGGGTGAATCGACGCAGTTTTAAAAATGTCATATTTACGGGCTTAAAAAGCCTACCTTTTTTAGTGAAACTATAATTATTGGTGTCGTCATGATGCTCGTAGTTGTCGAGTGATTTATAAATATTTTTAGCGGAATGGTCATTAGTCAGTTGATTTTCGGCGACTGTATGTTGACGCGAGTGCGAATTATTTTCGGCGAGAGCAGTTTGGTAAGATGCCGGAACCGGTTCTTCTATGAATTCTGGATCGAAATGTCGGAAGTCCAGAGGGTGGGTGAGGGATGGATCGAAGGGGGGAGTAATACGAAGGGCCAGCAAGGCTTGCCAGTCCAGATCGGCGAAAAAGGGGTGTTCTTGAATTTCTAACACGTCTCGTTTGGAAGCTCCTAAAGTTTATATCGCGTATATATTATAATTGGCGGTACTGTGAAAATCCCGTGATTTGTAAAATGTCTTATAATTAACTTTAAAAAAAATAAGATAAATTTACCCAATCTTTGTTCTCTGTCTTTTTGTAGCAAGGCCTTTAATAACTTTTTAGCTTGATGAGATGTTTGGTGACCTTCCTTTTGTTGACAATTGACCCCTTTTTCGTTTTCGCGATATTTTTGCGAATTAGGTTGACTGTGTCGATGTTTCGAGTTTTGTTCAGGAAAAGTTAGGGGTTTTGTCAGTATCGCTCTGTACATTTTGGCGGTATCCCGAGAGTAAAATGGCGGAAGGCCGAAAATCATTTCGTACATTACTGCTCCCAGGCACCACCAATCAACCCTCCTGTCGTAGTAATATATCTCACTTTTGCCGCTTTTACAAAATTTTTAAAAGATAGGTAATAAATAGGGTTAAAATATTTTAATGAGATATCAAATAAATAGTATAAAATTATAATGTAATGTCATAAATTAATGATAAATAAAATTACCTATTAAAACTTGGTAAGGCTTCGCCAGCATCTTCATCGCTTTGCTTATGGCCGAAATTCCTGTGGGACAAAATTTCTGGGGCCAGGTATTCTGGCGTTCCACAGAAGGTGGTAGCCAATTGACTCACCCAATCTGGTTCTGAGTCCGATATCGATTGACATTGAGATTGGTGGGGGGTGATGAGAACATCGAAATCAGGACATTGCTTACAAAGACCGAAATCGGTGAGCTTGATGTGACCGGCACGGTCCAACAAAATATTTTCTGGTTTAAGATCACTTTTAATTAATTTATTTTTAATATAATAAAATCAGTTTTTTTTTGAAAGCAATAAAATAAAATTTCACCCACCAATTTACTCTATAAGCCAGCTTCCTGCATTAGTGTCAATTTACTTTATATCTCTCCTTCCTCATTAGCGATTGATTTGGCCATCTTTAGATAAAATGATCCCCTCGAAACGCAAAAATAAATTAAGTAACAGAGATAAAAATATCCTTTTATAATACTTATGCAGAGTAAATAAAGTTGTTATACCGATATATAATATCCATGGAATGTAGGTAACCCAAAGCGCTAGCTATTTCCGCTCCATAGAATTTGGTCCTCTGCTCACTGAATCGCTTCTCCCGTTGTAAGTGCAAGAACAGCTGGAAATATTTTTATATTTATTTTAAAAAAAATGTTAAGGCTATGAAAATAAATTCAAGGATAATTAATGTGTGTTTTAAAAATTTTAACATTTTATGCACCTATAAAAGTTTATATTAAATGAACCTCCCCTCCATCCACATAGTCCAGCACGAAGAAGAGTTTATGCTTAGATGTGAAAGCGGCCCAAAAGCGAACCAAGAAAGGATGAGGTCTCGCTTGGACCAGCACATTCCGTTCCGCCATCACGTGACCACTTTCGTTTCGAGCAGAAACCAGAGCCTTATCCAGAACTTTGATAGCGTAGTATTTCGTGGGAACATTAACGTCGGCGTCAGCTGAACGTCTTTTTGATAGCAAAACCTACCGCAAAAACGAATTTAAATTAAAGACATGCTAAAGTTAATAAATATTTTATATGGTTAAATCATAGGAGGTCGATTTATTCCATCTTTCAAACATTGTAGTTGGCTAATTGTTCTATTTTTTAGCAGGCCAATCCTATTAGCCGAAAACGATTATAGACTAGGAATTTTTTTTGAAATTCTAGCTTAACTTCGAAATATGCAGAAATACATTAATTCTTCGTCCATTAAAAATCTAATACCCAACCATACTAATCAACAAGCTCTTTATCAATCTTATATTTTATCTTAATTTCAAACATAATATTTAAATTCTCTTTCACTAATATTTTTTTAAAGTATAAAAATATATTAATAGTCATCATATAGACCTCACAAAATCGATATTCGAACTATTCGTTATAAAAATTTTTATCGTTTTTTAGAAATTGAATTTAATTTGAAAGGCAGGATTGTATGAATAAGTTATATAATGTTTAAATTTAAAACAGGAGTTAATAAAATATGAGATTCATAATTTTTTGATAAGATTTTATATTTTTAAAGCTATAAAATTATTAATTTTGATTGTTAAAACAGATATAATATGATGGAGGTGCAATCAAAGCAATGTTCCCCTACATATAATCTTATTTAAAAAATTTCCATGACTCCTGATATGCCCGAGGGAGATGATATACATATAATGATATCTTATTTTTTTTTAAATATTTAAGTATATTTTTTTTTATATGTATATGGACAAAAATAAAACTTTTTACTATAACAAAAACAAAAAAATTATCAACACATTTTTTTCCGCACCGGAAAGGGTTAAATATGGTTTAATTATTCGTTTCGAATAATACGAACATCTGAAATACTCGATTATATGAGGTCTAGCTAGACACAGATAATATTTATATTCTTTTTACTTTGCCAAAGCTTCCTTTTCCTATGACTTTCAGAAATTCAAAATCGCTAGGCTTCATTCTAAATAAAATTAAGAATGTCATTATATTTATTTGTATAAATCAGAGACCAAGTAATTTTAGGCCCAGATTCTCGAGCAGGATCAGGGCCTGCTGGCCTCGGATATCGCTAAAGTGACACCTCCAAATGTGAGTCAAAGGCAATTGGATAGAAGATATGAAAAGGATTTTGGATGAGGGGAGTTAAGATAGGGTTTGTAGGTTTCACTGTTATTCATCAACCAAATTAAAATAGCAAAAATAATAATCGGATTTAAAAGAGTACGAAATTGATAAAATAAATGTTTTGATTGATGCAAAATAGCAATCGACTTATTTTAAAAGAAAAGTTCTATAAAGGATATATATATATATATATAGTTTTACTGATTGGAAAATTCTTTGTCAGTCGTAGCATCTTTCCCAGTGAAAAAAAATCCTCCTTTCTCGTCCTAAAAATCAATAAATTAGATTTATAATGAATTCATATTTTATTTCCCGCGTTGTTTATAATCGGTTATTTTATATTAATAATTAAATTACAAAATGATAATCGAAAGCATGATAATTTAATTTTTGAAAACTGTTTCCGATAAAGTAAAAATCATGTGGTCAAACTGTCATCCTTAAATTTACGATTTATAACTCATCGTCTTAGTTTGATAACCACCCATCGAGTTATTTGTGACTCCCCCCCCCCTCCTCAAATAATGAATTAGCCGATAATGGCAATTTAATAATATTTATTTTATATATAAATTATTATATACGCGTCTTACTTTAGCAACTGGCGGATTCGAAAAGTTTGATACATTCCCAGAGGAACTAGAAGAGTTCGATTTATCGTGACTGCCCGAACTCTCGAGGGATGAATGAGAAAGGGTACAAGCTTTCGAGGGTTTAAAACTTTTGGATTTTAACCCTAGGAAGTTTTGAACTTCGGCCCTACAATAAATTTAAAAAATTATTATTTATTATTTTCAGTGTTGGAAAGTTTATTTAAATCCATCTTTATCACGCCATTTACTTGGAATTAAAAATGGTTGCCCTTGATTGATATAAATCCGAATTAAACATGAAAGCAAGGTTCGTTTTGTTTTTTTTTTTAAAAAAAAAGTCGAGAACAAATCAATCACATTATTTCGGCGATATCGGATGCCCCGATATTTTTTATCGGATCGGATCGAGCCCATATTTCATATTTTTTTAAAAATATCGGTTATCGGCCAATACTATAAAATTTTCCGGTCAGATAAAATGGTGTCTTAAATTTAAAAAAAAAAAATTATTTCAAATTTGATAATATATTTTGTATTATATAAATAGATTTAATGTTTTATTATATATAAAATAAGTGATTTATCAATAAAAAAAAAATATTTTATAATAATACTTTTAATATAACTGATCATTTTAATATATTTAAAATGACTTAAGTTATAGTTAAATTGTAGATGTTATACTATTTAAAAGTATATGAGATAAGTATAAGATGTATGTAGTGATGCAAAATCGCTCACCCTTTATAACCCAATTATTAAATTTAATAAAAAAAAATTACATTATATATCATTTATTTTTATAAAAGGTTTACAATTTAGTCAATTATCTTCTAATATAATACACACACGTGTCAGAAATATATTAAATTATTTCCTTTTTACGTCAATTTTACATTTTTTAAATTAGGCCAAATTTTTATTTTGAAGGCAATTGTGAATATTATTTCAAAAACCCATTATATAAAGATGGATATAATTTTTGAAAAGTTAAGTGTTCAATTACGTCATTTTTTTTTATTAAGCGCAATAACGCGCTATATTATGGCCCCCCAGGGGAAAAAATTAACTCAGCCATCCTTTAATACCACCTAAGCTTTAAAAAAAAAATTTTTTATAATGGGATTTAGTGTTGCAAAATCGCTCCATTTGAGCCGATTTTTAAAAAGGACTAATCAATATTTCAGCCAAAAAAAATATTGCTTAAACCTCGAGACTTACCTTTGTGATCTACGAGCAAACAGGTTTGAGTAATAGTTTTTCTGATGAGTTAGCCGTTTTTTAAAAATCGACTCATAATGTAAGAAAACGATTTTGCAGCACTAGATGTATACTTTAAAAAATTAAAACGATTAGTATGTTCACAGAATACAAAATCAGATGATATCGATCGGTAATCGGCTATTAAATCGGCCTCCAGAAAGTGGTATCGGTACACACCTAGTAGGAAGGAAAAGAGTATATAGAATAATAATTTCTCATTCTCATTTCAAGTATCTGTTTTTAAACATGTCACATTTAATTTAATAATGTTTGTAAAAAAAACCCTTGAAATTTAAAAAATAATAATATTGATAGAGAAGAACGAGAACAAAAAAGAATAAGATAATTAATAGTAATAATATTTTCAATGACAATTACAATTGTATTCACAACTTTTAAGTTTTAACATTATTTTTAATTTATTACATTTACATCGAAATTCAATCGTAAAAGAGAAACAAAGAAAAATTGGCAAATATTTTAATTTTCAATATATCTTTTTTTTTCCCAATAATGAACATGGAAAAAGAAGAATGGAATGGGGTAGGGGGTAATTTAAATTATATTTTAATTTTTTTGCCAAAAAAAAAAAAATTTGGGTCACCACAATAATGACAATTTAAAATGTTTTGATCTGGAAAATTAAATATTTATTATTTACAAAAATGAATAACATTTATTTTTAAATTTCGAAAAAAATATAAAATAAATGTCGCTATATGCCTGCGGGGCAGAAAACAAATTTATTTTAAAAACGCAGTAAAGGATGGTTCGGTAAGCGCTTAGCATATGACAAAAAAAGGCTTCTTTGCCATTAAATTAATTTTGGAAGCCCTTATTTTATTTTATAATAATCCCCCTCTCCCCCAATGTTATATCGGTTTTTGAGCTGATATTATCTTAATGCCCATAAAGCCGGGTATTTTACGCAAAACCGGATATCGGATTGGCTTCGAAGATATCGAATTTCAGATACCTTTCCAATATTTTTCTTTTTTTGTGATTTTTTTTTTAAATTAAGAGCCAAATTTTGATAAAAAATAACCTCCCCCCCCCCACATCCAAATAAATTTGAAAATTAAATAATAATTTTTGCCAATTTGAAATATTTTTTCTTTTGTTATAAAAACGTAATCAATTTTAAATCTATTTCAAAAAAGATACAGTTGATTTGAATATAAAATTTGTTAAGTTAATTGAAATGATATTGTAAAGGTAATTAGGAGGTTAAATTGTAATCAAATTAAATGACAATTATATGAAATTATAGGTGATATATATTATTAATTAAAATTCTAAATATCTGCCTGAATAGAATGTGATTTTTGGAATAAAGATATAATACACCGCGTTATAAATTAAAATAAAAAAGGGTGCTCTAGCTGCATTTATGGAAAGGCTGTTCTATTCAGAAATAGACAAAAATCAAGACCTGCTAGGACGTATTCCGAGGATTGAATCCCGCTTAAAAAAAAATAAGGACATTTTTATGTCATAAAATGATACGATACGAATAACAAAAAAACAAAGTTACGATATTAACCAAAAAGGTGTAACATTTCGTAAAAGAATTGCAAAATTCAAAATTAATAATCAGGTGGCGTATTACCAATAAGTCATAGGATATGTATTTAATTTTAAAAGGCGTGATAATGTATCTAATAAGGAAGTGGCGTGGTGAAGTGACGTCAATCTAATGGCTATAATTAATGAAGTAACTCAATTAGTTACTCCCAAGTATGAGATACTTAAAGGTAACGTTTATAGCACTTCTAATAAAAAAATAATTATTGCTTAATTTCCCATAAGGGGGGGAGAGGTGATTCAAAATCAGGACCGATATGCCGCGATGCGATGAATACTTAATACCGTATTCGTTTTGTAAGGTATAAAATCCATAATGGATATGTAGCGTTAAGGTAAATACCCATTATTAGCTGAATACTGTGTTGTATAACACTTAAATATATTGGCGACCATCTTTACAAAAATTTATTAAATATCTCAAAAAAAATCAATAGTAAATATCATTTTTTAAAATATATTGGCTAGAAAAATAGTATTTATAATTTATATAAAAATTTCAGCTTCAGATATATTGGCGGCCATCTTTATAAACATAAAATAAAAATACCAATTATAAAAATGAGTACCCTAAATTGAATACAATCATATTGTCACAGGTGGATAATTATATTGACTCAGATTAAAATCAATGACAAAATTTTTATAAATTTAATAATTTGCATATCATATAATAGTCAGTTTGTTGCGATTTCGAAGAATATTGATTATGCAATTTCTTGGAGTTGATTTAAGAATAGGTTATTAAATTAATAAAAATGGGTTCTCCATAAATATTGGTTTAAATGAAATCTATATATAAATTTTGCATTATTATTTTTGTCACGGTATAACATAATATAGGAAAAAAATTTATTGATTTAATTGATAATAGGGATGTGCCGATATAGTTTATCAGATCGGGCCAATTATTCCTCCTTTTTATTAATATCATTAAATTTACCGATCCGATAAAATGGCATCTTGATTTAAATTTTTTTATAATATTAATATTTAATATTTAGAAAAAAATAATTTTATCAAGTTAAAGAATTCTTATATAATTGGGGTGATAAAATTTTTTTTATTTAAAAAAACGAACGAAATAATTAAAAATTATGTTAAAGTAATTAATATAAAAAATCATTTATTTTTTATAAGCTTATATTGATCGCGAATAGACTATATATGGGATATTACTTTCCGCATTATAGAAAGATTTATGGAACAAAAAAAGGATAAAAACGATTTCACTATAATATAATGTTTAGATTAGATTTGATGAATATAAATAAATATGCATAAAATATTAGGTTAATTAAAAGTTGATAACTAGTGATATATTTTAAATGGCTTATGTTATGGTATAGTCATTACTATATGTTAAATTAAAATATATATTAATATGTATAACGAATATAATCAGATTTGTAATATCAGATAGGTAGTCGGCCGATATCGATATAACGTCGGATAGGAACGGAAGTGGTATTGGTATACCTCTAATAAAAAATCTTCTTGTAATTTCCGTTATTTAAATATATGTCGATCAAGGAAATATAAATGCGCACTGGCAAAATACTGGTATTCATCCGCGATTGTTTAGGATATTTGTCTCATAATAAGGAATAAAAAAAAAGAAAGAAGGTGTGAGTCGTAGATAATTCAAGCGCATCTTTCCTAATTTGAGCAATATTTATGAGAGCTCTCATAATTTTGAACGAGTAATTTAAGACGAATGATGATCAATTTAGTCTACCGCTGTCTAATACTTTTCGATAAAATGAGGAAAATTGGACACGCTTTATATATATTCTATTTGGGTCTTGTGCCATGTTTCTAGAGGGCGATTAGGGTCGACTCTGAATGGGAGGAAATGAAGGGGGGGGGAGGAAGAACGTTCGCAAATTTTAAACGAACATCAATGCAAAAAACACTCTTTTTTTTGCAATCATCATCTCATTTTATGTCCAATCTCTTCTTTATTTATTGATTTTTATAAAACTCGGACAGACAATTTAATTTAGAAAATTTAAATTATAGTTTATAAAAAAACCGTATTTCAACAAAATGACCTTCTATAATAAAAAAGATAATATATACGCGATATTTTAATAACCTATGGCCAATTTTTTAAATATTTTATTTTATTTTTTTTTAAAAAAAATAATTGGTGATGTTGTATGAGAGACAACGTCTAAAATGCCCAGCCCAGAAAAGGATAAGGTTAAAAGTTTCCGAGGTGTGAGCCTTTTAGTGTGACTTGGCCCTCGAGGCCAAAACGTAGATAGTTGGCGTGTAGATAAATCAAATTTTGGGGAAAAATTAAAAGTTGAATAA